ACACAACCATACAATAGGATGGGATAGGATGACAGTTTTAAAATCTAATGTCACAGGGTATAGGGAGAGATTGATAACAGAAGCTTTGTTTATCGAATCAACCGCAAATACATGTAATAGGAATGATTCAACACCTGTCCCAGATATATGGAAAATTCTATTGCCCATACAACATATAGGAGAAGACAGAGAAAACTATAAAAATCAAATCTCGAAGTCGTGTGACAAAAATTGATATGATTATGAACAATAAATTGTGTTCGAAACGTCATCCAGTATACAATACTGTTTCACTGTGTGATACATTTAATAATCAAACTAATATGGAATTACTTAATACCACAGTGCCCAAGTTTTACACATATATTAACTCGACTGAATTTTGTTGTTGATGCTGAGTGACGAAGATTCACAGGTTGGTTTCGGGTTGATGAATGTGTTTCTCGCCTTCCCGATTCTCGATTTGACATCCTCGTCCGCTCCTCCTGTAGTTGAGACAACGCTCCCTAGATAAGTGAGTGAATGAAGTAACCTCTTTCAAATCCCTCCCGTTGATGGTGATCGACGCTGGATGTTGCTGCTGTTGTTGTTGTTGTTGGTTATTTTCATCACCTCCGTCTTGTCTATGTTCTACTGGAGTCCTGTCTTCGCCGGCTGCTTCTTCGACCCGTTTGTCGGTTTTCGCTTGTAAGTCTTCAATTGTGTGTGACATCAAACATAAATCATCCACGCGCGAAATCCAGGTCTTCTAGGTTCTTGACATAGGTCCATGATATCATTGCTTTCTCGTTTCCCACTATTTGACACATAATCCAGTCCACCACAATTGGGAATATCACTGGTGATAATTAGCCAGCACCCTTGTCTGACTCCTGTGTTTACTACAAAAGTGTCTTTGTTTTAAGTCCACACAACACACACTAATTATATCTGTTGTCAATGCAGTTGAAGATTGAACGATCAATTCATTGTTGTTTACTCAAAACCAACTTCCCCAATTTTCGCGGAGGCATCAATACGACAGTCATCGTCTCATCGGTCGCTGTTCAGAAAGAAGTCAGCAATAAACCGTCAGAAGTAATATTGTGATTTATCATTGTAATATTTGTTCACAGACCGTAGTGGAAATATTTTTCATATGTTGGTGTAACAATAAAGAATCCTCGAGTCAACAACTGGTGTTTTGGTTTCTTCGTCCGTTAATACTAAGCGTTTCTGAAAAACTGCAAGGAACACCGTGGGCCCGAGCGTAGCGAGAGCTGGGCATTAACGGTTTACGAGACGTGGCTGACAGTTTCTGATGGTAGAAACAGACTCTTGCGGATTCAGACAGTTGGTGAAAGTTTGGATAGTCACCGTTCACCCTTCCTGGTGCCGGTCAAGTCCTCTTTGAACAAGCAATATCTGGAACGTTTTTGGAATTTGGTCAAGTTCAATAATGCCTTGGTCAAAGAAGGGACAGAGTGTCTTGGATGCAAACAGGAAAGTAAGTCATGGTGACTTGTCTGTTAACTGTAGCGATGTGTCTGATGTTAAGCATGATATGGTTGATGTTACTGTTTCGCCATTCAGGGATAATAGGAACATCAAACTCCCTAAATTTGAACCACTGTGTTTTGATGGAAACCCAGCTGATTATTTACAATTTGTAAAGGAGTTTGAGATCATGTTGAGTGGTGTTTTATTAAGTGGTGGATTGAAGTTAATGTATTTGACGAGGTATTGCACTGGAGATGCTGCAAGAGCTATACAGTGCTGTAAGTTTATGAAGCCAAAAGAGGGCTACGCTAATGAGGGATACGCTGAGGCTATGAGCATATTACGTCAAAGGTTTGGAAGACCTTCGATGGTTGTAAGGAAATTATGTGAGGCTGTTAAGGGTAACGGCAGTCAACGTCAAGATGACTCCAAGGCACTTACTGAGTTTTTAGATAATCTTATGACTTATAAGAATACCTTGATTTCGATGAATTGCATGAGTGACCTCAACTCGAGTTTTATACGAGAAGTAATATAAAGACGCCTGTCTAATCGACTGCAAAGGAAGTGGGTGAAGATAAGCTCCCGTATGGAGGATGAGGGTATCGAGCCAAAATTTGATGATATCCTGAAACTAGTAAAAGATAGTGTCAATCAATCTATGAGCAAGTTTGCCAGTATATTGTATCTCACCACCAGAATAGAGCAGTCTGAGGGCAAAACGCAATCATTGATGACGAATAAGCCTCAGAGAGGTGGATATCGAGAAGGCTCGATGATGTCTAGTAATACATATAGATCTAGTGAGTGTAACAGCTTTCGTAGTACATCCTCAACAGATAAGTTACAAGATGCAAGACAAACACGGTTGTGTTGTACACGTTTGCAAGAGGTGCATACAAAGGTGAACTGTGAACCAGTGAGCAAGTTCAGTGATAAGCTATATGTAAACTCCAGGCCTGATTCCGAATTGTGTGACGATAACGTTGTTGTGAAGAAGTCTGTAGTTGCAACTGGTAAGCCGTTGCTGAATAGAGTGTCACAGAATAGAGTTGCTGCTTCAGAGTGGAGTTCTGACCCTACAAGTTTACAAGGTATTACTAGTCAGAGTGAAGTTATAAAACCTTTTATGATTTGCGAGGAGGAACCAAAATTGTCTACTTCTGTTATTAAAGAGTTTGAAAATGATGAAGTTGACGGTAAAGTGAATATTCGTGATAATGATCATGATAGTGCAGATTTGTCTTTGGTTGATCATTATGAGATGAGGGATATGCCTACTACTGCTGAGTTGAACAATGGTTCTGTACAACTTGAACGTGAAGTAGAAATAAATGCAGGTGCAGTTCCAGAAGGTGTGCATACTTGTCAGACCGTCAGTGTGAGTGATCAGCATGTAGCCCACCTATCATCAGATGCTAGTGCTAAACCTGAGCTGATAGTAAAAGACAGCAGTCGTGGTGGTCTTGCAGGTAGACAAATTTCTGAAAGTCGAGCAACAACAGCTTCTGATCCACCGCTAAGTTCATCAACTGGTATCAATCGGTCATCGTTGGTGTTGTCATCCACAATGAAACAGTCGCCCATGAACTCGAGTATCTTGTGCAATGACTATGCTAGTATCAGTTCGTTTGAAAGGACGAATATCAATGGTCAGTTTAGTGAGGATAAGCCAAGTGTAAACGAGAGAGTAATTGTTAAATTGACTTGCACGAATAAAGGCATTTCTAGTTTCAAGTTACTATTTGAATGCTATTATCTTTGGTGTAAATTACTCTGTGCCTACGCTTGGTTGACCAGATACGTCGTGTGTTTGTTCGTCATCTATGTTCTACGATGCAATGACATGAGCGTGTTACCTTTCAGATTTGAGGATATAGCTGATTGAAGGAAATCAGCAAATGAACTCTGCAATGATTTTCCAACCTAGGGCGTCAACGTGAGAAGGGTTGTAGGCGTACTGCTGTAAGTCCTACAATTCTTCAAAGGGTAGCGAATCAATGAATGAGCAGTCCAATGTGCTCGGTGTGTGATTTTGTACATATGTTCATATTGTATATACTGAATTGATATCATATGTCATCTAGCTGTTAGTAATTCTGATTGTGTCCGGACGACTTCCACTTGGATCATCAACCTGAGAAGGAATGTAGGCGTACAGCTGTAAGTCCTACAGTTCTTCACCGGTAGTTCGTCAAGGCAGAATCCACCACATTTGATTGTACATATGTTTGTGTTAAATAATTGTGTGAGTTCGAATTATTGTAATTGTTGGTTAATCTTGTTTGTGTCCGGACATTCCACAACTTACAATCGTCAACCTGAGAAGGATTGTAGGCGTACTGGTGTAAGTCCTTCAATTCTTCGAAGGAATTCCACCAAGACATGATCCGCGATGTTATTTGTACTCTTTGTGTATACGTGTGGTGTCTTATCGATATGTGATTTTGGATTAATTGTGTATACTCGTTGTTTTCGTACCTTGTTGTTACTGCATAATTTTGTTAAAATTTTCGTCGTGATTACTTCTGAAGTTGTTTCTAGTCTTCTACATCCGTGAATGAATTGATTGATGTTAAGGACAGCAGATGGGTCGTATACGCCGGGGAGGCTAGTGACGAGAATTACATGCATACGGAGATAATTGTTAGGTGCGGTCCCACACGCCGGGGAGCGGGAGTGTAGACGACTGAGGCTCGCATACGTCACCGTTACTAAAATTAAGGCAGAATGAGTGACAAGCGATTGCAGTGGTAATTGGTAGTGAATAGATAAGAGGATATGCGTGGAGTATCATGAGGTGGTGGTATGGTCACGTTGCATTCTGCAAGAGTCATTCCATCAAGTTGGCGATTGTGTTGCGAGATGATGTGTCAAGAGGATGCTTTTAACTGGAAGGCGCAGGTCGTCATTGATGTGTGAGATTGTGCTGTGGGTATGCTTGTGGTGTGTTGACTTTTCTGTTTGTTTTCCATTTCAGCTCTGTCCGAGTGACCCAGGTTCTCGCAATGGCATCCAAGTCAACGTGTATTGGTCGTGAAGAAAAAAAGGTTGGATCCCTTATTTGCCGGGGAGTGTCAATGCAGTTGGAGATTGAACGATCAATTCATTGTTGTTTACTCAAAACCAACTTCCCCAATTTTCGCGGAGGCATCAATACGACAGTCATCGTCTCATCGGTCGCTGTTCAGAAAGAAGTCAGCAATAAACCGTCAGAAGTAATATTGTGATTTATCATTGTAATATTTGTTCACAGACCGTAGTGGAAATATTTTTCATATGTTGGTGTAACAATAAAGAATCCTCGAGTCAACAACTGGTGTTTTGGTTTCTTCGTCCGTTATTACTAAGCGTTTCTGAGAAACTTCAAGCGACAGCGTGGGCCCGAGCGTAGCGAGAGCTGGGCATTAACGGTTTACGAGACGTGGCTGACATCTGTCATCAGCATCAACATGATTAGCTCTCTTTCTGGCCGCACCAGGCGAATGACGGGTAAAAAGCTCAACTTCATTCACGAGCTCTTAGCACACACCACAAACCACATGTCAATCCCAGCACCAATAGCTTTAGAGTCAACCAAATCCACGACAGTCGAGTGGCGGGACGAACTGCACAGAAGTTTACCGAAGGCCAGGAGCTTTTCTTTTGCAAACAAGGGCGAGCACAAAGAAAGCAATCTGGTTGGCACTAGCTTGTGAATATCATGTTGGATTCTGAGCTCTCGGTGCCGTCACTACAACTCTACTGGCCCTTTGTTAAACTCATCGTATTGCGATTCTTGCATGGAAAATATAAAATATACGACATAAAATACAGAACAGGTAGATTCAGATGAACTACGCTTTACTGGAGGCAATGAGTATTGGGTGCCGTTTGTTTAACTTCATCGTTTGCAGTGGGAATATGAGTGTTGAGCGTTATCACATTACATCTCCCGTTTCTGAGATTTGGTGTGTCGAAAAGTCCTAAAGTTACTCGCTTATGGAAGCCATTATATGCTATAAATAATTTCCCTAAGTAACTTTCAGTAAGTAGTGTTGTTCCATGGAGCATATTTCTGTGTAATTATCATGTTGACGTAAAAACAAGAAAATAAATATACTTTTTAAATCCCCATATTTGTTATCATTTTAGGCAAATTAAATTTATTAAGGCGTTGCGTTTGTTATACTCAGTCTTCTGGAAAATCAAGTTTTTCAAAATTAATGTCAGAAAATATATTGTTCTGGACCAGTTTTTGCGGGAATAGCTCTGTTTATTGGACGTTTTGGGTAAACTGAAATCACTGTTGCGTAGAGTTCTATAGAATGAGTCGTTTACGTGGAAAACCAATACTCCAGACTTCACGACTTGTTTTCAATTGACTGTGCTTAGATGGGTTTCTGTTTTGTATCTTGGTGTTTTATTACCAATCTACGTAATATTCCTTTCCAGAAAGCCATGGAAAAATTCCTCCGGAATGATTAGCGCATACAAGATCGTTCAGGTATTCTGATCTTCCAACACCCATTTTCTTAGTTTTCCATTATAGGTATTTTGTTAATGACATTGCTAGAAACAGTTATCATAACTTCAACGGTTGAATATGGACCAGGTCCTCTGTCGGTTCGAGTATTAGATTCTGTTTGTGACCTGTTCATTTGGGTAAATTGCAATATATAAATAAAATTCAGTCAACCGTTTTGATTCTTCAACGGTACGAATTTAAAAAAGGATTATTTTCCTCAGGAGTGGTGTTAATCTTCTGGCTTTACGAACTGTTAAGGTATCTGGTAGCCTTTCGCTCTGCAATTTTATTCGCATCAACTTCGGTAAGTCGATTCCATATTTAAATTAGTAGCAAAATGTAATATTAGTGTTTGAATCTCTAGAATATTGGGACTTTTGTTAGTCGATAGTTGTATTTCTGAACTCAGTGTGCTTGCAAAAGATGGCGCTAAGAATTCTATAAATTTATGGTTTGTTAAAATCAGACATAGAGATGTATTGGCTTTAACTGTGATTTAACATATTTCCAAACACTACTCAGTTAATTCCAGATGCGATTAAGTATTCAAGTGTAGACAGCAGATATTTGAAAATCAGATATTCAGCGCTCTCGATTATAAGAGGAAATAGTATGCACTTGTTCATATTGTTGTGACGCAGAAACTTAGACTTCTATTTTATAATTCTTCTAGTTTCCAAAATTATCTGACCTCAGGAAAACCATAAACCTCAAAGTGTATTTAGTGCATATAAGTAGTTCCCTTTATATAGGGCAGTGTTTCCTATGGTCTTTAACTTTTAAAAATGAACGAATAAAACAGAGACGGAATAACATGAATTAATCTTGTTTCATCAATTCCTCTATAGTTGAGTATAATTTACAATGCATTTCATGTTTTATCGCGAGAAAATTTTTAATTTTCTTTAGATTATTTTATGGGAATTAACAATATCCCACTGGATACAAAACCGTTCAGCATCAGGTCCGTTCTACACATTTAGGTCTCAAAATATATATCTTTCACTGATCCCCTCTACCAGCAGCAAAGTGTCGCTATTTTGACCACGGTTTTCAGTGGGCATGAAATAAATGAACCTTTGCATTTCTCTGATGCCTTCTCACTTTCTCCAAAAATCTGCAGAAGCGAATACTTTCGATGAACTTTCAAACTGTAGTTCACCAAATACAGATAACACAAGTGTTGTAATAATGAAAACCACAGTTTGCCTTAAAAACCCTATGCCATTTGTGTACTTGGTCTATTTGCACCGTTTGTTCGGATATAAGGTCTTCCGAATCATTCATTCCCATAACAGATGCGAGGAACCAAGTTAAGCTTTGTCATCATTATAAGGTGTTCGAATTCAGCATACGTAAACATACTGTTTTAAAAAAAATGGCTATAGAATAGTACGAAAGAAAGCTTGACCACATGTAGTCTTGTTGACACAAAAGTGTACAGCTAAATGACATCTTCAAAGTACTTGGATAAGAAAATCAAGAATAAAGCACGCATTTGGCAGATAACTATTTGTTGAACAAAGCAAAGTTTAGTTTAAAAGTCCTTGAGCTTTTTGGATAAAACAAGTATGAATCACCAAAGTCATTTCTATCATTGTTGCAATGTTTTACGCGTTGTTTTCGACTACGTCGGGGAAGCAAATATTGCGATTGAGTAGTACAGCTATTTATGAACCAACTTGCAAGTACGAGATCTCAAGTAAACTAAGTGAGATTTTTTGGTTTATAGACAGATTACACCTGAGAACCTAAACTCATGTCGATAATAGTTCACATAATGTTATTTTTAAGCTAAATGGGTATAGGTGACATCACTATGTAATTGTCATTTAGTATTTTTGTGCTTCTAGTGTTTTGATAGTTGCGAATGATTCGTAGAAAAGACTGTTACAAGGGATAGAAAATCACTCCAGTTAGGTAAATAAAAACCACTTTTCGACAAATATGTAGTTCATGGATGACTGTCAAATACAACCCTTAAATAATTTTCACTTGGTTTTTGCATCACCGAGTAAAATATGAGTACCAAAACCCATTGAGAAAGTGATACAATACCCTAAATTTTCCATACAGTGCAGATCCTCAAAGACGTAAATATGTTTTTTTTAATGTATTTGCAATTGCAGGGACATGATTCTATGACACCAGTAATAATGAACGGACTGATTCTCTTTCATGTAACCATAGCCTTTTGGGCCAACTGTTTCGCCAGTGAATGTGACGATGAAGGTGACAATCTGACTTTACCACGTTATAAATCAAAAACTGCTCCTGAAGAGAGAGGTAATGCATCACAGGTACGTCAGCTCCAGTGTGTCCTTTAATTCATGGATGAGTTAAAATACTTACGTTAACTCACTGAAAGAATTTAGAAATCTACACAAAAGTGCACTGATACAAGTTAACACAATTCTTAAGTTTGCACACAAAAGTAAAGAAAAAGAAAAACGTATGAATATTTGTCTTTTTCTTTACTTTATGAGCAAGAGAGTAGTTTGATGGAGATTAGTGACAATTTTTAGAGCCTACACAATGAAAAGCAGTAAACATATTTATCAATGTCTAAGATTTCCAGCTGTGCAACAAAGAATCTATAATAGAGCATTATTGGCTAGCCAAGTGACCTACGCGGGTCAGACCAGGGGTGAATAACTTCATTGCTTTGAGTGACCAGTTGAGCGTCCCATCGAAGTTCCCCATCTAACATTCCGACCATCTCGCCTAAGCAGATAGTAAAGTATCATTCTCTTCGGAGATATTTTCATTCAAGATTTGTCTCATTATTAAGTCTAAATACGTGTTGGTTATACTCCACCACTGTTACCTTTTCAATTTCTTTTGCTTTCTTTCTCTGCTACTGTTCACTGCTGTTGAGACTAAGATTTGTATGCCTACTTTTGAGTTGCCGTTGCTCCCTGTCATGTTCAGAGATTATCAGGACTATTCTCCTTAAGTCTATAGACTCAGATTCAACTTTAAAAATTAGTGGTTTGTATTGAGCTTTCGCTACAGGTTATCAGCTTTTTTCTGTCACTTTTTCATCAGCACACTGGATATAGTATCAGACTTTGAGAGGATGAGAATTGTCATGTTTAGCTGGCCATTCCCTTAATAGAGACTTTATGTTCTGGTCTGGAAAGCTAGAAACATAAATATTTCGCGTCTTATTTTCTATTTCTGAAATGATGTATGATTGAAATTCTCGCAGGTGATTGTTCTATAAGAAGCGGGAGTTTTTCGCGGATCTTCTTCATCAACAACTTATAGCAAAGCGTTTATATCAACGACAGCCAAGTAATACAGTATCTCTCCTTATGTTTGAGGTAAATACTGTCCTGGAAAAAGTAGTTGTTTGGGAAGAATTGCGAGAGAATACCTCTATTATTGGTCAATCAGCAGGTAATCTCAAAGACACCTCTTATGTACACCGCTACTTGAGACTTGAAGTCACCCATCGAAATGATATCTTTTCCTTTAGCAGCAAACTGGATAGATTCTGATAAAACACATCTTTCGCTTTATTCGGACTGCACTCTGTGGTTAAGTAAGATGAGACTACGAAGTATTATGGTCTGTACTTATTCTCACAAAACTGTTGGGCTGAAATGTACAAAATGGTCGTTAGCCACATTCCGATGTGAGAGTCATTTTTCCGCTAGAACTAATCAAAGAATCTCCTGGCATCCGTAATGAAAAATCTATAGGTTCATCACATCAGCCAGGTGGAGTCGCGTGAATAAATACACATAGGTCTTCTAAGCGTGTCTCTGAACTGCAGCATACACAGCATTTCAGACAACATGGCAACATCAGAAATGTTAGAAGGTTTAAGAGAAGTTAAAAAAGACTGTTTGAAAAACAGTATCAGCAGTAAGTGATAAATAGATACATTTTCTGTGCGACTGCTACTTTATACCATAAAGGTTGACTTGCTTTTAGAATCCCGAAAGAAGTTAGTTTAACCACCAAAGAGCGGTGGAGACACCTAATTCGTCCGTACGGAAGGCATTACTGATTATTAATTACCGCCGTAAGATAAGGCGGGATGTACAAACTTTAAGACAATTGCTTTATAGTCCTTCCTTCTCAGAGTAGGAATAAAACATAACTGCCTTACTGGTCATTTGAAGGAAACATACAGTCAGTGTAAATGTTTTGGTTATTACAGTATGCAAACAGAACCATCACGTTAAGCTAGCAGGTGTGGGTCAAAACTGCATCTAATAATATTCTGGCATACAAAGTTCATAAAAATCCTTTTAATTGTTCTAATAATCTTAGAATTTCTCAAAGGTAATTACTTTTGTCTCAGTACCAAACGTATAGTAAAAACCTTGAAAAGTCCCTTCTGGGTATACACTCAAGAGTGAGAGTAAGTTTATGACAAAAAATTAAACTTTACAGTGTACATCAACAGACTACTAACTTGCTACTAATAAACAGACAATTTGAATGTAGAAGATTGACAATGCCAGTGAAAGCCTAAACCAAAAATACTTATTTTAGTCATGCCAAAGTTAACTTTTGTATCTTAATTTTTAGTTACAAAAGTTTTGTCCTGAAGAAAATGCACCTTTCCTGTCACGGATGACATTCTTTTGGTTCACTGGGTAAGTTCTTATATGCTTACTTGCGTTTGTTCTGCCAAGCGAATTTATTACAGCATGAGTTTAGAACAATCACAAAACTTGATTTAACTTCTGAGCCGAAGTAAACATCCTGCTAAAGTAATCCTACTCTATTGTGTTAAGTAATAAGACTGGAAGTTATAGTATTAAGTCTGATAAGATGAGTCACAAAGAAAAAGTGCTTCTCATGTAGTACAAATAATCTAGAATCATCAGATCGATTAAGGTTTATGCTAATAGAAGTATGCATTTCATCCCCACCAGTGAAATATGAACGATATATAAATACTCTGAGTGGTGACTAATTAGGTTAATTTTGTGTGAATTCCTTCTTACATAAGATTTATTCGGTAGACTGGCATTCTTCTCTCATCTTTTATTGGGTATGTTTTTAGCTATCGTTATTGTAAAACATAAATTACTTTGAGTAGGTTTCTAAAGTATAGTGATCACCCCTCAGAAAAGACTGCTGCTTGGAAAAAGACTCACACTCAAAATACAATTGGTGTATGTTGAATCAATCCAATATCTCAGTAATATGACTACCGGTTGTAAATAATAGCTGGCATCTTTGAGTCATTGTTTGAATTTGGGTTTTCTGAGTAAGTTATACACGAACATATTAGTGTATTAGGTAATCAGCATTGGTTTTCATATTAATCAGTTAAGTGGACTGATACTTATGTATGTCTCATCACTCTGTGCTTTAAGTCCAGTTGAATCATTGAGTTTGTAGGGCAAATTCAGCAAAGGATGTAGGGGGAGAATTTTTAAAAGGTTGTGGTCAATTATCTTAAGCATTAGAATCTCGACCGATGGGTTCCGTGTTTAGATCCTACTCTACATACTTCAATCCAGGTAATTGTACAGTATCATTAGCCTTCATACAATAAGTACTGCTCATAACTTGGTACATGAGAAATCTGTTACGGATAAGTGAACTATAACAATAGCTTGTTAAACGCTGGAGTACTTGAAATCGAAAATTAAGTCAAAATCTGTACAGCATCTATTATGATAAACCTGGTAAAAGTGATGCATAATCAGGTATGTGTGGGGAAATTCATCAATATAATTACACTGAATAAAAGCGCGACATAAATATTAGATGAAGTAGTATCTAATTTCCAAATTTATCTTATTTCTGTTTGCGTAACAGGCTTATCTTGAAAGGGTTTCGGAGAACTCTGCTTGCTGAAGATTTATGGAAACTGTCCGACTCAAACAAAAGTGAACACGTTGTGGATAGAACGATGCGAAATTGGCTATCGACAATTGAAAGTATTTCACATAGGTTAGATACATTCATGTTTACTAACCACCATTGTATCATTACATTTCTTCAAGATATTGAAAATCTCTCATGTGATAGTATGCAGGACAACACTTCTACAAGATTGAATGCACAAATAATAATTGAAATACAACCATTAGCTATATAAGCCGATAAATTCGGTTGACGGAATTATTTTAATGTGTATTTGCATAGGCTGCAATAAAAATTAGTTAGTGTTCTATAATATTGAGTACAATACCTTATAAGGCCGTGAATAATCTGGGTAGGATGATTAATTTTTGTAGGTCTTTCATATTTCCACGTAATTTGAAAATCAACTGCTCTCAATCACAGATAGTTGGACAACTGGACAGAACAAGTTATTAGATCTGAAGAATATTTTGTGCTTTAGTGTGAAGAAAAAGAAAGATGAAATAGTTGTGACGCTTTGGAAGATCTCTTATGTCGAGTGATTCATTATCTCGCCAAATAACTTTAACAATATAGAATCCAAGTCTCATAATCTAAATGTTCATAAAAGAGATATTCATAGAATTCCAGTCGCATACGAGTTGGTTGGACAAAGTGTAGCTGATCTGTTGTGCTACGTCACGTTAGTTGGTAATATTGTAGGCTATCCACAAAGGAACTTCAGTACTTTGCCAAGATAGTGATATTTCCCATCAGGAAATTAATCTTTGTGGTTTTTCTTTTGGGAACTATAGGAAAATAAAAATACGATAGTCAGACCTAGCCAACATGTAGCAGAGTCTTTGTCATGAATGCAGTCTCAAAATCATGTGCGATGCGTATTGATACTTGTTCGGGTATGCGAAACATGGGACAGTGGAATGAACGATGCTAAAATGAAATAAGTTTAAGTTAAATTTTAGAGGAATAGCAATCTTCTAATTGAAGAATATGCATGAAATCAATTAATTTCGACTTAGATAAGCCAAACTACTTTAAAAAAGTTAAATGTTTTTAAATTAAACCAAATCATAAGGTTTCGTAGATAATACCTTACCTTGAAATAATTTGTTTCAATTTAGAGTGAATGAACAAACTAAACATGAACATATTTCATATCTTGAGCAATATGAATCCGACGCATATTTGAATAATGTGATGCCCGATAAAGTGAACAGGCCTTCCCTTGCATTTGTTTTACTTCGTACATTTTGGACCGATTTTGCTGCAGGATTTCTGCTCAAACTGTTTTGTGATATTTTGACATTAAGCCAACCACTTATTATCAGGTATGTATCATATCTGTAAATGTATGAAATTTTGTAGTACTTCAAGTAACTTTTTACTTCTATAAAATTTAAATGTCTTATGAAAGAAAACAAGCCAAACTTGATACATCACTTTGTGTAAAAGGTGAAGCTATCACTATTAATCAACTATTTTACTCCACTTAGAAACTCATCGATCTAGGAAATTTATTTATCAGAAGAAGAAGGCCGTCATTCACACACTAGGTTAAAGTATTTTAGTAAGAAATTTAAATTTAAGTCATTTGCAAATTTTTTGTGAAATGTCCGCTTGAATCCAGATGTTGTGGTACTATTTTCTTTCACATTCTCTGGAGGCTTTATTCACCAATATTCATCTTATTTTCTGAAGAAGTTCTAAAATGTCGAAAAAGTATCAAAAGCTCAAATTTAGAGCATTGCAAGCATGTTGGAAGTAATTATTGAACAATACACTTTATAAATTCCACCACTATCCAAAGATTAAGATTCCTTCTTTGACTTCAGAAAGTGTGCCTGATGAACCTCTCACTAAATTAGTGTCAATCTGAGTAAATTCTTTCAGTCTGTTCACTTTAAAACCATAGAGCCCGATTATTTGGATGAATTACCTTCTTTTAAAAACACCAGCTTTGAGGCGTTTTGAACCAAAATGTCTTTTACTATCGATTCTAATTGTGAATAGAATGAATTCAGAGGGAAATAGTCCTCATCTCTTATCAGCACTTTTATATCGCTAGTCACTTGTCATGTATCTGAATAAGTTATCTTCAACATTTTAGAATTCTCAGTGCGAATTTCCGTTAGACTACCAGAAGCTTCCTTTTTATTGTACTCTCACAACGACTCTTCGCTTGTTTGTGTTGACATTCATTTCTTTTTTAATTGTCTATCCCACCTTGTATGTATTTGATAAGATGGTACCGAAATAAGGTGTTTTTGGTATATTTTACGAACCTATTCATTCCTTGTTCCCGTTTTTGAAAGATATATAACACAAACAATAGTACGGTTAGTGATTATAAAAGACAGTTGTTACCTCCCTGTTAGTGCAGCTGTATAAGCGAGAATCCCAGAAAACTTAATAACAGCCTTTGAGAATACCGTATGGAAATATGATGCTACGAATCAGTAGTTGTAGACTGTTCATGGCATGGTACAAAATCGCTGATGTATTCACTCTTTAGCATCTTCCAGATTTTAGAAATGCCAAATAGTTTTTCTTATTCGTTACATTGAGGTCTGCCTTATTTTTAGTCTAATTAAATTTCCTTCCTCTACTCTGATGTGTGCTATCTAGAAGTGTAACAACTTGAACTGGTACACTTTTCCGCAAAGTTCTACATTGTTAACTTAGTTCAGCTCAGCCCAGCTCATTCCAGATGATCTCTGTGTGATTAATTCATGAGCTGTAGCCTAAATATTGTGAATAATACAGTGACAAAGAGCGATTAATTACGTGATAAAAGTAGGCATAAGGCTCTCTGTTGCAATCAATAAAAGTAACTTATGAAGACAAATTTCGGTTCTAAACATTCTGCACAATTAAATATTGGATTTGATAAACATTTATGGTATTAATAAAAAATCCATTTTTTAATCGAAGGATGCTTGTTTATTTTACATCTCTCTGTGTAGTTAGTTGTCAAGACTGTTTCTGCAGTGAATGAATAAATTTAGATCTTGTCTTAAGTTCAACATACTACATGTCTTATATTACATAACTACCAGCCTAACTAATATCTGTAACACAGTCAAAACAACAGTGCTTACGCGTAGATTTGTTCTAGTTGACGTGTCTTCAACTGTTCTAAGTATCACAAAATGCTTAGAAAATTTGAATGGATTAACCACAGGCCACTTCAATTCCTACATATTATTGTTTTGATTTGCAAGAGCCTAAATACTATATGGTTTTAGGAGTGGAGACGATAGTCAATGATTCGATTGAAAGATACCGGTTAGTTTGCATAGAGTCGAAAGAGAGAGAGTAGAGGGGACTGAATCTGTTACATCACTCAAATTGAAATATAATCTAAAACCTTTTTCTTCAAATAGTTTTCTAATCGTTGCAAATTCGTCCTTAGACGTACAATAAGTGTACATTTCAATGAAGTGAATGGAATCCATATGTGGAGTCTCAGGGTAAAGTTACTTTCTCACGAAAACGTCGAATGGTGCTATGAAATTGAATTTACATACGCAAACTGCATGGACTGGGTGAAATATATATATATATATATATATATATATATTTATAGAACTCAGGCTAACTACCTTCTTTTGTCTATCAGTTCTGTCGCTCTTTAAAAGATAGTTACATAGGCCGTTGATCTAGTAACTTAACTTTTCGTGTACGGGGACACTTATTAGCGTGGTTAAACAAATATGCAGCAAAAATATAACCAATTTGACATAAGTACACCTTGACCTAACAGACATCAAAGAAAGTATTCAAGAACTAGTTTCCGTCATCTATCATTTACGTATTAAACTGTGTAAAGCCAGAGAGTACACAGAACGCCAAATAGTAGAAGCTAGAATAGTTCATCTGAAGCAGCCGGATTCAGGTTGATCCACTATTGCTATCCTGACCGGCTGCCTAATCTATAAGTTCCTAAATACTTCGTTCTGCATGTAAATATATCTCATCCCTTATTTTGCAAAAAAACTATCACCCGATTCTTTTACTGTTGTGTCCTTACACTTGTATGAACAAATCTTGTATTTTCTTCATTTTTGTTTATCTAATCTTACATTCAAACTGTTGTTGATACATCCCCTCTGCTCCATTTTCCATTTCCGTCTTTTGATGTTTAGTTTGGTTCATATGAAAATTTCTGCTTTCGAACCCCTGTCTAGTATTCCCTTGTTCCTAATGGTTCTCTAGCTGACATCAATTTCTGATCAGACTTGATATAAGCACGATTCCTACCAACTAAGTGTTGGGGAATGAAATTCAGTTTAAACTCAATCGCGTTCATTTCCCAGTATATATTTTTTATCATTGAGTTTCAAAATATGTGTGTCGATTTACTCATATGCACGTACGGCTAGTAATATACGTATCAGAATAAAATAGCCTGTTGGTAATGAAATTAACGGTGATGTCTAATGAATTCATTGTGATAGTTCTGATTACATGAGTAATTCAGTGTTAATTGAATTTGTATCAATAGTTCTTGGTTTGCAAAGTGAGACCGTATCAACATATCTTATTAATGGTAAAAGTGTAAATATTTTATTTTGGGATACAACGTTGGCACGCTTTAATCAGCCTTGTTCTATACTTCAAATGCTGAAACTTCAGGATATCAGTTTTGCGTTAAATTTGCTTAGGGAGTATTTAAAGTACAGTTTTAAACCCAGTGTAAAGAATCAATTATTTTTGTGAACCAATTCGTCTCATTAAGAATGAAATAACAGCTTTAGGCAGTCTGTTATTTTCGAATATTTAGACTAGTGTAGAGACATATTTTACTACAATGTGAAAGTTAAACTCATATGTTATTGAAACTGTAGTGGGAGAGTAAGAAATTTGATATGATTTGAAGTACAGCATCCTCGTAAACCTGAGCAAAGTACACAGCTTGTCCAACCTGTATGTGTTACAAATCATTGGGTATTTTTATGACCTCGCATTCATAAAAGAGTTTAGTTTTTTTGTAGTTTATTTTTATAAACAAGTAAAAAATTGGGACTGCCTTAAATTGTGTAAGAAGATTATCATAACTGTTCGTGTGATCAATAGGAGTAGCTATGCTCAAAATATTAGAATTTTACCATTGTGTGGACATTTGCGGTGTGTTCTACTGATGAGATTTATCAGTAGTATATAAAGAGACCTTCATCGGCATAAAAATATCAAATGGATGAGAGATGGATTTGAAGTCATATAGAGGAAATGAGCCAGCATTGCGGCAAAACATTGAAGATAAAGAAACACACAATACGAAGGGCAGAATTAGCACAACACGGAAGATGTGTGCAAATGTCAATTTGCAGATAAGGTGTACATAATTTTGACATATAGAAATACAATATTGAAAATAAACGCTCCTTTACCAGGTCTTCTACCTTTACAAACTTACCTTAGAAGTTCATTTTCTGGACAACAGAACATGTGAGAATTTATGAATGAATTATTTAACGAAACTGGACAGTACTCAAGTAACTGTTATGACTATATTCTCCTATCGTTGGATTTTGTGTTTGGTTAAATCATATACATAATTCAACTTGAAGGATATTAATTAGGCACTAACTCCTCAACTTCATGTGTTCATGGTTTACTTCCACACTTGAAAGAAGTTCTACTTTTGATGAAAGATGATGCTTGTATGAAATTTTTAATGAATTTAGATTACTTTTTAAACTTTTATTATGATTATTGTAATTTTTATTACTTTCACTTATTATTCTTGAAGTCTGTTAATTGGATTTGTCGAAGAAGGTACAATGAAAACTAGTGGAAAAGCTAACGCACTACCAAACTCGAATTCATCAGGATTCTATCAGTGGCATGGTTATTTCTATACTGTTTTATTATTAATAGCTGGGCTTATTCGGACAATTGTGTTTCAACAATATTTTCACTTCACTTATAGAACTGCGATGAGAATAAAAACTGCAGTTATTGGCATGGTTTATCGTAAGGTACAGTTTTAAGATTTCATATACTGTTGCGGTAAGAATATTGATTTCGCGATTTATTTTTCTTCATATTTTCAATACATACGTATGGATATTCTAAGCAGTTAGTTTTTAAATTAATGCTTTTTTCCTTTAGATAGAAACGACAGCAACTGAAGAGGTTTCTGACTTGAATGACTCAATAAATACAGAGAGAGTTAACGAAATAATTAATATTACTATTATATTATTAATTGATAACTACAATATTTTATGAATCAAATGACATTGTAATCACTTTTCGTTTTCACGGACCACTCTTTATATTATGTGCAACAGATTAAATATACACCGATGAATTATCTTTCTGAATTAGTAGTTGTAGTAGGTTTTTATTAGGCCAGAGTCAATCTCTAAATAGTTTACTATGGTTAATTTTAGCTTTTTGAAAGATTCTAACCATTGTTAGCAATAAAATACGTCAGTTATCATACCTGCTGCAATTTTTTCGTCGTCCGGTAATGCAGAGATAATTTTAATGTGTGGTGGAAGGAATATTACTTTGATGTAAATAATAAATGTGGTCACAACAGATGTTCGGTGACCATTTGCTTTAGCGTCAAAAATATACAACTTAATTCAGTTTACATTTCTTGGTTTTCGGGGTTGACAATTGTAAACTGAAAAAAACACACATTAATCTCTGTTCAAACACCATTAAACTGAAAGACTAAGCAAAACTTTTCAACATAAGATTCCCATGCAAGTAGCTTGAGTTAATTAAAAATAGGTCATAGTGTATGCTTTGTTGCTAGCTTTAACTGGTCACTATAACAAATGTCTTTGCGTTGTGAATTATGTCTTTATTCTCCTGCTGGCTAGTTGGTTTAAAAGATATACATACATATATTTAATGACAATGTGAATAGTAAAAGTTTTGCTATATTCTTCTCGTCACAGCTGCTTTGCTAGAAGTATTAAATAAAATAAATGTACAAAAATGCATTATTTTTCATCTTTCTTTAGTCCCTTAAATTATCGAACTTCGCTAGACAAACTTCAACAACGGGAGAAATTGTGAATCTAATATCTGTTGATGCTCAAAAATTAGAAGATACAATGGTTAACATTCACATGATATGGTCTTCCCCATTTTTAATTTTATGTTCACTAATTTTATTGTGGTATCAACTCCAGTATGCTGTATTGGCTGGTTTGCTAACAGCGATTGTTTTAATTCCACTCAACGTATTTGTTGGTGTTAAGGTTAAAAAATTAAATGTGAGTTTTATAGATTACATTTTTTTCAGCTTATTGATATGGTTCACTGATATATCATTTAGCAAATGCTCATTTCTCAGATGCTAAAAGTTATTACTGATGCACATCACGTTCTGGTCTCTATGCTGGTGTTTAGTATTATTCTTAATATTGGGTTATATTCAGTTCAGTCATGCGTAAAATATACGTCAGTATGTTCAGATCACACTGTAAATAAGAACAATGGGTTTTCACGTTTTTGTGCATTCGACTTTGCCTAGCATTCGGCGGAAAGACTGGTGTCTCTCAGCATCTGATTTCAAAATAAGGAGCAAAGTTACTTTAGCATAATTAAATGACTATCTTACGCTTTAGTTGTCTGTCGTTTAATTTTCAACTCAAAAAACAATTAAACTTATTACTCGAAAAATACTTAAATAACTTTAATCACGAATGAGTGTTTAAAACATACATATTTATCTTCTAGGTGGAACGAAATACTTCCGAATTTACCAAGTATTTCTGCTTGTTTTACTCGAGAAAAAAATGTTTTTAACTTATGAATAAAAAACATAACATTTTATAATTTATATATTCTTATATTCACCTTTAAATGTATGGTTATATATGAATTTGTTGAATGTATAACTCGTCTTTGATAGTATTTGATTTTAACCAAAAAAGTACTTCAGTCTGCATTTAATGAACTTTATTCCAGACTGCTGATTAGCATGGATGGTCCATCAATGCAATCAAAAGCAGATCTTTAAGAAACCAGCAGTTTTAATAATTTATGTCAATATTTCCAGGTTCATGAAGTAGCTCTAGTTCGTTTTTAAAAATGCCCAAATGCAATAGAAACACAGATGCTGGCGAATAAATAGTTTGATAAAATTTTTGAATAAATTGCTCTCAAATGGTGTAGTACACATCGATATTGCTAACAAAATAATACCTGTTAGAATTTCTGAAAACATACTTGGGTCTAACCCCTGGAAATACCTAGTTTTTGCATTTGGCAAGTAGTTTAAATGCTGACAAAAGTAATAACGCTTAAATAACCCTCAGATCCCATCTATGATGGTCGATTATTTCCTCGAATACACCAGAAGTGGCATGATTCTTGGTTTATTACAAGGTATAGAAAATAATAATTTATATTTAAAGTAGACCTAAGTTATTACTAAGATTTCCTGTGATTATGCATTTTTGATATTTAAATGTTTTATCTGGTGATTTTAATCAAGTCTAAGAGGTGTTTCAACTGGTAATCAGCTGTCCGAATATTTATAGTTTCTTCCAAAGAACTATACACACTTATTGTGTTATGTACAATCTGGCTATCAAAAACTTAGTAGTGGTATTCGTATCCATGATCAGTTACTTATGGAGATGAACCTTAACACTTATACGTTTTGAAGTTGATTACTTTTATTTATTCATATGAGCTGTGATCAAGATTTGACCGAATACTTGCAAAATAATTGGGCGCTGAGTTAGAAGCAGACATCTGTAAGAAATTTGATTTGTAAAATCTCAACGATATTGAAATGAGTAATTCCAACGTTTCGTTCGGCAATCTGGTGCGAACTTCTTCAGCGAAATTGATCGAAATTAACACAACAGAGGTTTATATATAAAAGAAAAATCCGTTGTTTGGAAAACGCTTTTTTAAAACAAGAGATGTCCTTTTTATATATATAAACCTTTGTTATGTTAATTTCGATTAATTTCCTTGAAGAAGTTCAGACCAGAACGGAACGTTAGAATTACTCGTTTCAATTTGGCTGAGATTTTAAAAATATCATTTTTTATTTTTATTTATGGTCATAAAATCATGTATAAAATATACCATCAAGAAAAGTGTTTACTGAATAAACCAACACCAAAAAAGGAATGATATATATCAGAAGGAGATAACAGAGTAAAATAAGTGCTTATTCGGCTGTTTGTTTTAGTGAAATCTTCTCATAGAGTCAATTTTCATCTTACACTCGAAGTTAAAAGTTAATTATAGACTAAATGTAAACTGCATGTGTTGATATGCCACCCTTAAATAGGTATCACAGTGCAGTTTCGTCGCTAATTTGCACCTCATTGTATAATCATTTGATTGAGTTGACACTTGTTTTCACTTTCATCATAAATTAACTGACATTATCTTTGCGAATTATAAACTGTTGAAAGAGTAGGGAGGCAAGTAATTGTTGTACGGTCTCTCATTTGAACAATTACTTCAAATTATTCAAAATATTTCTTTGTATTTAATTTTCCCACAAAATATATTTGTGTAAATTGAAAAAATGCCAAATTAATCTATTCTTTCCATTTATTTCTTTTATTTTTATAGACGGAAATGATGAAAATTAAAGATGAACGTATTAAACTTTTAAATCAAACAATTGTGGGTATAAAGTTAGTCAAAATGTATGCATGGGAACCAGCCTTTGAAAAACGCATCACAGAGTTAAGAAATACAGAAGTAAACGCTATTAGATCAGTTGAATTTCTGAACCTGGTATCTTATATGAGTTTAACTTGTGCACCCTTATTAGTAAGTTATCTTGTTTCGGGGCACTATTCACCTCAACATTTACTGTCGATAGTTAACACTGTAATGATCGTTATTGATTATGAGGCAGCAAAGACAGGATTCCAGATGAACATAGAGGAGACAAACGTGGTGCAGATAACCAACGAACCGCAACAACAACAACAACCAGCATCAATCACCATCTACGGGAAAAGTTTAACGGAGGTTAACTCCTTCTCTTATCCAGCCGGGAGGCATCGTCGCAACTACAGGCAGTAAGAACGGATGAAGATAACAAAGCCAGCCAGCCAGCCGGAAAGGCTAGATACTCCTTCATCAACCTGGAACCAGTTTGGAGTCGTCTGCGCTCAGCATACGGAACAAGATTTGGATATTTAACTCAAATGTGAAGTCATTCAGTTGTTCTATATGGATCAGCAACTTGGCCAGAGCGTTATGCAAAGCATTTCCGACGTATACAAACTTTTATCAACAGCTACAATCCCTTGCTACATACTGAAGATGAAATGACAGGCCAGCCAGCTCTGGCAGTGAACAAACCAACCAAGAGCCGATCGCTCAACAAATGTGTAGGAGAAAATAGATATGGATTGGGGAAGCACTTGAGAGGCCGTCGAATAACATCGCGCGCAATGCAGGCCACCGCTGGAATGGAATCCAAATGGGAAGCGACTAGTGGGTCGTTGGTGCTAGGGTGACATAGAGGAGACAGTGTGTGGAGGAGAAGATGAGAGAGTTTGGGAAATCGTCGACCCAGCTGAAGAGGACGGGATAAAGTCCAAGAAAGTGGTGATGTGTTGCTGAAGCCCTATGTTCCACTCGGAACTCAAGGGAATAATAATAATAATTCCTAATGTTTCTTTTGCTTGACATTTCAAGTGTACTTATGCTTTATAAGTACGCAGCATTTAAATGATGGAAACTGAATTTTGTAGTCCTTTTCATTCACTCAGATTTTGATTATATATATATATATATATAAGACCCAGTTTTACTCAAATTATCGTATAAAATAAGCCTACTGAACCTAGAAACCTAAAACATTTTGTGACTGATTTATTCAGTCGTTATCATGTCATTATAAAAATGTAGTGTTTTGAAAATGATGGTAAGTCTTGTCGAAATGAACACTTGACTTTCAAGCACTCAGTCTTGAGTTTAAACCTAAGCCTACCTTATTCGATCTATGCAGATGCATAAACATCAAGTATGTCTAATATCTAAATTTCAGAAGTTTATTTTTCTTCTTTGTTTGACTGGAGAGGAAAGTTTCCATCATTAATCACCTACTGAGTGCTTTATTTCCTCAATTCTGTTATGCGGAATTGTGTTTCTTGTATCTACAAAATCAAGAAAGCAGCAAGGATCAAGTAGACTGTATTACTGTTATGAAAACAAATTCTGCTGTAATATGGGGGATGAATGGTGAGATGAAAAGTAACCATTCATTCTTCTATACATGATTGCTAGAGGGAACATTCACTGTACAATCAACAAATAGAATACATAGAACTTGATGGAAACAGTTTTCAAAATGTCATGCAACTATGGCTACTAAATTTCATTTTTAAAGAGAGTTTTATCACTACAGTTAAATTATTACATAAAACCACGTGTTTATCAGTCAAATTTCTTAATTCAACAGTTATACCTATGCTTCATGAATATGATTGTTCACGCCAACTATTTTGCATTTATTTATTACTAGATTTCGTCAGCTACTTTCGTCACATACGTTCTCATGTCACCAGAAAATGTGTTGACGGCACAAAAATCATTCGTTTGTCTAGCCCTATTCAATGTCCTAACATTCCCTCTGAGTACACTTGCATATATTTTAGCCCTTACTGTACAGAGCAAAGTATCGTTATCTCGTATCGTTAATTTTCTTTTCAATGAGGAATTAGTGGAACAAACAATTGAAAAACATCATGAAAATAAATTACGTCTCAATCATGAACCTGAAGAATATTGTAACAACATTGGTGAAACTTCTTTACTGAATACGCGTACGTTTATCATTTTTGGACATCTGTAAATCTAATAATATAACTGGACTGAATTAACGTAGCAATCGGCAGAAAAATGCACCAGTTTAAGCTGCCGTACTGCAAAAAATTCACATAAAGTAGAGATGAGATATGAATGAAGAATGAAAGTGTATGAGAGAAATAATAATTATGTGAAGAATAATGAAGACTTAGTGAATCTTCAAGGTTGAAAGGAATGAATACAGCTATTCTGTTGAAGAAGTTTCCTGGTCATGTTGCCAACAGCATCCAGTCATTGGTTCTTAGCGCCTTGGAGGCTACAGTCCAACCGTACCAGCCTAATTTAGCTCAGACAAATGGTCAGTGACTTCGTGTTTTGGTCTGTATCAACTAATTTTGATTATAGAGAAAGACAGTGAGTTGGTATGGATAGAAAACGTCTCGACCACTTCAACTGATGGAGCTTCACAGCCCCAGTGGCTTTCCTTCCTTACCTAATACATTTCACCTAACTACATTACTGCTGAACATATTAATCTACCAAGTACCAAAACTTTAACACAGAGACATCTATGACTATGGATGGCTAGTTTGCTGATCTTCAACTTTCAGTGACCATGTGTCAGTTGCGACTGAGGATGAATAGTACGCAGGCTTTTTAGTGAATGTCCAGATATTACGTGTACGCCAAGGACGATATAAGTGGTCGAATGTCAGACAAGCCCTTTGTATTCTTATTTAAATTTCGTCAGAAATCAACCCATTAGGGTTGATGCAACTTCCCAAATGAGTAAAGTGGTCAATACAGTCAACCATTTCACTCTATCTTGTTGAAATGGGATTCGTTTCAGATCAATCCTGTATAATTTTCTTACTTTTGACGAGGGCTGACTGCATTCCAAACATACTTAGATTGAGAAGACTTAATTTTATTAGCGTCTTCACATAGAACGACCATTTCATATTAATACTGGAGATCAGTAAGTTACTTTCCTGATAATAAGTTGGTCCTTGATAGATCAAAGCTTGCATTAATAATGAAACTAAATAAAAGTGGGTGACGTTTAGCATCTTTGACAAACATGAGCTGTAGCTGTTACTTCAAATGACACGACTTCATAAGTTATTACACTGCAGCATTATTTTGTGTAAAGTACTTTGATTAGTGCGACATAATCACTCGACATTCTGTTCACACCCAGACATTGCCACATTACATCCCGATCGACGTAGTCAAATACAGCCTTGAGGTAGACAAATACGGCAAGTTTTTGACTCCAATAATAAGAACAAATGTAGAAATACAGTATAATAAGTTCATTTGAAACGGTTGCCATCAAACAGTTAGAACTGAATCTATGTACACAGAAGGAGACCATGACCAACCTCACATTACCTTGGTGATTACGTTTACGAAAACAAAATTATACAGTCCCACTAAGTCATTTATTGATCCATATTTCTTGTTCTGTTACAAAATTTAATTTTTCATTTGAATATCACTCATCTCACTCTTGTTGGTTTTGGAAAATACTTTTTCTGGTTACGTTAAGTATTACGGTAAAATACTATTTTTAATTAAACTTTGATTTTTCCTATATCTGAAATTGTTCACCTTTCAATCAACGATATTTCTGTAACTATTCTATGAAAGGTCACCTTTCAATGCTCAATAATTTGACTACTAACTTCAGTCTTATGTTACTCATGGTTACTTTCAATAAGTCGTTGTGCGTGTGACAAAAGTGTGTTTATACCTTTTTTTTGTAATTTATACATTTTGGTACTTTTTCGAGGGGGGGTTTGTAAGTGGTTGAAAAGAATCCAAAAATTAATAAAAACGAGCTGATATCGTTCTGTTACGTTTACTGCTCAATTTTCCGGATGAGAAGAATGTTATAAAGTTTTTAGGTAATTGTCTATAAATTAGACTGTATCTTAGATCTTGTTGAAGGGCGAAAATATGATCGTTTCGCTCTTCTGTTTCATCTTGAGAATTCTTTTAGCTACATAGCACACAGATTCCTGGGATTCTTTCAACCGGGGATCTTTATATCTAAAAACTTAGAAGACTAGCACGTATATATTTCTGAGTTAAATGTCTAACATTCGACATAAAGATAAGAAGAAGGGAAGAATCTGTCTGGGTATTGGTATTGGCCCCAGGTAGGTTGTTACAAGAGAGTGGGTGAGTGGTGAACAGAAGATCAGTGTGCGTTTTTGGAGTCTTGTGGATGGTAGCCACCTTCTGGCTGCTCATATGTTGAAGATTTGCTTCCTCCTGGAGTTTCTGAAAGAAGAAAATGGTTGGTTTTACAAAACCATAAAATTCTGACGAAAACTAATTTAGGTCCGTTTGGTTGCATTGTTTGTACAGTACCATTCATGTTGAAGATGCAATAGACAAAAAGAAGGTGTAACAGTGAAGAAATTTTCTTTTCCGAAAACAGCTGTACAAAAAACCAATCAGACGCTGCTAGTTATGTTATAGGAATGTTTCACACACACTACAGAATGGGATTGATAATTAAAAAAAATAAATTTACGGTTCAGTTTTTGAACTAATTTTGAATTTCTAGATTCCACATAACTAATGCAATACTATTTACTGTTTTGTTTACACTTTAATTTTTTCGTGAACTCTTTCCTTGATTGTACATCTCTGGTTATCATAATCATTCTGGTTCATTCAGTTCTGTCGCACATGCATTCTCTCCTAGAAATTAAATGACTGATTTGATTGCCACGTTAACTCAGTTATTAAGGTTAGATTATAGCATTTTTGTCTAACTCATAACATGCTTACAGATGTAAATGGCTCTTCTACAGTTTCAACTTGATACACCTGAAATCCGGTATGCAACGTTTAGATTATTTGTAATTAATAGAGGGAAGAACAGTAGTGCAGCAAAGAGTCTCTTTCCGGTGAATTCATTTTACAGATGTTCAACCATAAACATGTATATGGTTATTTTGTATTTGTGTACATTAACTTTGTCGAACGAAGATTGGGGTCGCGCTAAATCATGAATTGGTAGAAGTTAGAATTCACGAGCCACTGAATCGGGTCCCAATAGCTGAAAGGTATACGAGCTTGCCTTGTAACCGGAAGGGCCTGGGTTCGAATCCCAGTGGGTGAGTACTGCCGGTGATTCCGAAACTAGTATCAAACAGCGGTTGTCCAATACTCCCTGGTTTTCAGTGGTTCTCTAACTGATATCAATCCGTGATCAACTCGTAAAAACATAACTAACCCTTACAAACCAAACTATAGAAAACGAAGGTACAATTAGTAAGTTTTTGGTGGGGTTGCGTTATACAAAAAAGTATTTAGAGGAATTGGATGTTAATATAAGAAGGTAGCAACAAAAGTGATGAGTTGTCACAAACGGTTGTTAAAGAAGAGTTACGTCATATCATGAACAGTTTGATGAAAGAGTTGTGCTCAGGGTGAAAATGGAAACAAAATGAAATACGGAATTACATAAGAGTCCAAAATTTTGCGACATCATTCTAAGTGCCAACAGATTTCATACTTACGTACAATTTGAAAACCTGATGACCCAAACAAATGATGTAACTTCAGTCTCCGAACAAGAACTTCAGTGATTCAGATCCATAATAAAGGATTATTGTCATCAATATCTGAATATAAAACCAGAGGTCAACAACCACCTAACAAAGCAACACAAAGAGGAATTACATCAAGTGAAACACAATAAGGAACTTCTAATAACCGCTCCAGATAAAGAAGCTGGCGTGGACTTTATGGACAGGAAGGGTTACATAGAGAAAATAAATTGCATGCTGTCAGATAAAACTAAATTCTCGCAACCAACCAATAAAGGAAATGAAACAGAACAGATACAAAAGCAGCTCACTGATGTCCTCAAAAGAATGAAAACCGAACAATTAATCAGTCATGAAGTTTATGATCACATTCGACCAACAGGACCAATAACACCAAGACTTTATGGCTTACCAAAAATAAATAAAGCCGGCCTCCCACTGCGTCCAACTTAAGATATGGCAGGTCTCCCGTACCATTTAAAAGTTAAATTGTTAGCTGATATTTTAGAACGTGTAAGAGAACAGATGTGGCAACATTGGCTTCGTGACACCTTTCAATTCGTCGACTATATACAAGATATCAACATTTATTATTATTATTGCTCCCTTGGGTTCCTAGTGGAACATAGGGCTTCAACTGCACGTCTCCATTTGCTTCTGTCTTCTGCTGTACTTTTCGCCTGCATCCATGTTAGTCCATATTCTTTCAACTCCTCTTCACACGATCTCCTCCATGTCACCCTTGCACTGACGTCCCACACGCCGCTTCCCTTTCGGGTTCCACTCGAGGGCTTGACGCGCGATGTCACCCAGCGGTCTCCTCAGCGAGTGTCCGATCCATCTCCACTTTCTCCTGCATATTTGTTGGGCGATTGGTTCTTGCTTTGTTTGTTCCCATAATTCCTTGTTGGTGATTCTTTCCGGCCATCTGATCTTCAGTATAGAGCGAAGACAGTTGTTAATAAAGGTCTGCAACGGCTGTTGGAAATATTCTTTGTGACCCGCCCGCCAAGTTTCTGATCCGTATAGAAGAACTGACTTTACGTTTGTATTGAAAATCCGAATTTTGTTGTTGATGCTGAGTGACGAAGATTTCCAGATTGATTTCAGGTTGATGAATGTGTTTCTCGCCTTCCCGATTCTCGATTTGACATCCTCGTCCGCTCCTCCTGTAGTTGAGACAATGCTCCCTAGATAAGTGAATGAAGTAACCTCTTTCAAATCCCTCCCGTTGATGGTGATTGACGTTGGATGTTGTGTTGCTGCTTTGTTGTTGGTTGGTTATTTTCATAACCTCCGTCTTGTCTATGTTTACCTGGAGTCCTGTCTTTGCTGCTTCTTCGACCAGTTTGTCGGTTTTCGCTTGTAAGTCTTCGATTGTGTGTGACATCAAACATAAGTCATCCGCGAAATCCAGGTCTTCTAGGTTCTTCACGTCGGTCCAGGATATTCCTGTCTTCTCGTTTCCCACCACTGTCTGACGCATAATCCAGTCCACCACAATTAGGAATATCATTGGTGATAGTAAGCACCCTTGTCTGACTCCTGTGTTTACTCCAAACGCCTCGCTGAGTCTTCCGTTGTGGATCACTTGGCAGGTGCCGTTGTCGTACAGCTGTTGAATAAGGTTGATGAATATTTGGGGTACGCCATAGTACTCGAGTAATTTCCAAATTACTTCACGGTCAACGCTGTCGAAGGCCTTCTCAAAGTCTATAAAGTTGAGGTAGAGGTTTGATTGCCATTCCATGCTTTGTTCGATGATGATGCGTAGAGTTGCAATTTGGTCAGTACATGATTTGCCTTTCCTGAATCCAGCTTGTTCTGGTCGGAGTTCTGTCTCCAGTGCGTCCTTTAATCTCTCCAGGATGATGCGACTCAGGATTTTACTTGGCGTCGATAGGAGCATGATTCCTCGCCAGTTCTTGCAGAGTGTGTAAGTCGCCCTTCTTTGGTAGTTTCACGAGGTAACCTTTCCTCCAGTCAGTAGGCACCTTTCCCTCCTTCCAGACCTTTTGCAATAATGGAGTCAGCATGTCTGCTGTAGTCTCTGGGTCCGCTTTCAGTGCTTCAGGGGGTATTCCATCTGGTCCGGCTGCTTTTCCAGCTTTCAGAAGCTTGATTGCGTTCAAGACTTCAGCTCTCGTTGGAGGATTGGTGTCAACTTGCAGTTGTGTGCGCGCTGTTGTTGGTATTTCTGGACGGGTTGCAGGTGATGGTCGGTTCAAGAGTCCTTTGAAGTGATCCGCCCATTGTTTAATCTGTTTTTCTTCCTTGGTAATTGGGTTCCCTTGGCTGTCTTTTATAGGTTTCGCTTGTGTTGATCTCTTCCCGGATAGAGATTTGGTTATCTGATATAGTGTCCTCAGGTCCCTTTTGCCTGCTGCCTTCTCAGCTTCAGTGGCCAGGTTGTCGTAGAATCGTCTTTTGTCCTTCCTAGCACTTTTCTTCACTTCTTTGTCCAGTGCTTTGTAAGTTGAGCTCAGCGTCTCCTTCTCCTGTCCGTCCTTGCATTGAATCATTTTCTCTTTCACCATTCTCCTCTCTTCTATTAATTTCCAAGTGTCCGTTGAGAGCCATTCCTTGTCTTGTCTCTTCTTTCTTCCTAGAACCGTTGAACACGTTTCGTTGAGAATCGCCTTCAGAGACTTCCAATGTTCTTCCACGCATGATTCTTCAGTGATGTCGCGTAGTGTTTCCTGCTTTGCTCTGACAGTTGCAGTGAAGGTGTCTTTTGTGGTTGTGTCCTTCAGTAATTGAGTGTTGAACTTGCATTGTGGCCTATCCCCAGCTATCCTCGAGGCTTTTAGTTTCACCTTGAAAGTCCCTTCTACTAGATAGTGGTCTGAACCCACATCTGCTCCTCTCCTTGACCTTGTGTCCAGTAGGCTCCGTCTCCACTTTCTTGAAATTGAGATGAAGTCTATTTGATTCTTGGTGTTTCCATCTGGTGAAATCCATGTCGTCTTGTGTATATCCTTGTGTTTGAACACACTACCGCCAATCACCAAATCATTGAAGGCGCAGAAGTCTGAGAAGAGTTCACCATTGTCGTTCATTTCACCGAGGGCCTCACGACCCATGGTGAGTTCTCTTCCTGTGTTGTCTCCTCCCAGCTTCGCATTCATGTCGCCCATCAGGATTTTGATATCGCCATTTGGGACGTTGTCCATTATTGCTTGTAGTTGTCTGTAGAACGCCTCCTTCTTCTCTTGTTCTGAGACGTTTGTAGGCGCATAGACATTGAATGACTGTAACTTTCCTTCCTTTTGAGTTGAACCTGGCTGTCATTATCCTGGAGGAGATTGGTTCCCACTGCATGAGAGCTTTGGTTGCTGTTGGTGACATCATGATGGCCACTCCCTCGGTGTGCTCATGGTTGTCCTCTTGGTGGCCGGAATAGATTACTGTCTCTCCAGTAGGTAGTTGGCACCTTCCAGTTCCGTTCCATCTGCTCTCGCAGATTCCCAACACTTCTATTCTGTACCTTCTCATTTCAGCGGCTATCTGGGCAGCCTTTCCAGTTTCGTACATTGTGCGAACATTCCAGGTACCCATCCTTACTTTTGCTTTCATCGGAAGAAGGCAAGATATCAACATAATAAACAACAATATGCTTTATCTTGACATTGAGTCACTATTTACCCATGTTCCTCCCACAGAAACTGTCTGTCACATTTATCAATATACAGACGAAAACCAGCTGAACATCGGATCACTGACGACTCACTTAAAAAAACTACTGTTGAGGTGTACACTGAGTATGCAATTCGTACTCAACGATGTTAATCACAGACAAAAAGATGGGATCGCGATGGGAACTCCACTGGGCCCATTGCTAGTAGACTGTTTCATGGCAAACCTCGAGAATGGCCTACTCAAATCATTGATTGATAATTTCCAATTATATGCTAGATATATGGACGACATCTTTATTATCTGTGATGATGGTCGCTATTCTAATCAGTTACTACAAATATTCAACAACTGCCATTTAGCTACAAAGTTTACTCTTGAAATAGAAAACGGATCTGAAATCCCTTTTCTTGAACTTACAAGAAGAGGTGACTGGATTTTAGAATGTCCATCCATAGGAAATCCATGTGGAACGGCCAAATGACAAGCTTGTACAGCTGGGTAGCAATCAGTCGAAATAGAAAATTAATTAGATCTCTTGCTATTCGCGTCCGATGCATCTACAGCTCTGATACCCTGGAAGAACTACACTTCCTGAAAGAAATCTTCATACAAAACGGATATCCGCCAAGATTCGTAGGCGAAAACATCAAACAGAAAACCCACTCAGTGGCTTCTGTAATTCGCTTTGATTTATTTTTGTACAGACAAAATAAGGTATTCTATAAATAACTAGAAGATTTAAGTCTTTATACAATCTGTGGTCCTAAGGTGGGTTGAATAAGACATTATCTTGGCCATCAGTTCAGTCGTTTGCATTTCGAAATTTTTCAACAAAACGATTACGGTTAGTGAATATTAACTAACAATAAACTGTTTTCTATGCATACAAAATAAGCAAGCGCCTGCCATTAGAAGCATATGTGATCTTTCCTCGACACCACTGCCAATTCTTACCTTATCGACCAGTTTAAACACATCTCTTTTCGTTTTTGTATACTGTTTCACTGTTTTCTAGAGGATGTTTTATGTATATGTACACATAATAAGAACGCAACCACGTATATTGTATTAAACTATTAAAGGACTAAACATTTTCATTATAGAATACGACATAATTTGTACGAAAGCAACATTAGGATGGGACAGTCAGACTATACTATTTCGAAAGTAAGTCAGAGAGTTTTTTCTGATGAAGTATCATTTCTTGCATAAACGCATATTTTTGTGCTGCTGACTTAACAGTAGATACATACTTGCAAGCAAATAAATACGGGGGATTTATACTCTTTTAATCACTTAGTGTTTTGCTTACCAGCTCTTCTGGAGTGACTATTTTATTCTGGTTAGTGAATTTTTTTGGCAATTGAAGTAGAACAGGCCGCAGGTAAAAGAGATCTCAGAACATTATATCACATAACCAGGTCATCGGTAGTCGGTAAGAGATGAACACAGGTAATAAAACCAATGAAAATTCCTCAAGAGAACCTGATTACCAAGCAGGAGAAACAAACTAAACAATGAGCTGATCACTGTAAGGGACACTTGGATCGAGAATCACCTGCAACTCCACCAGAAATACCACCAACAACAGACACAGGAGTGCCAGTGGACAACAATCCTCCAACGAAAGCAGAGGTCTTGAATGCAATCAAGCTAATGAAGTCTGGGAAGGCAGCAGGACTAGACGGAATTGCCCCACTCCAACGCACTGAAAACACACCCAGAGACTGAGGCAGATGTGCTCACTCCATTGTCGCAAAAGGTTTGTCAAGAAGGAAAGGTACCTACTGATCGAAGAAAGGCTGCTTCGTCAAGCTGGCAAAGAGGGGCGACCTAGTTAGGCCTGTGCAAGTACTGGTATGGGATCGTGCTCTTGTCCACACCAAGTAAAATACTAAGTCGGATCATCCTGTGGAGAGAAAGAATTAAGGATGTACCTAATGCAGAACTCCGTCATCCCCACTGGGACAAGCTAGCTGCATTCACGAAAGGCAAATCATGTGTTGATCAAATTGCAACTCTACGCATTGCCACCACAGAACAAAGCATAGAATGACAGTCAAACCTCTCTCTACCTAAACTTTCGTCGTCGATTTCGAAAAGGTATTCGACAGACAGCGTCAACTTGGAAGTAATTTGAAAACTACTTCAACACTGCGGCGTATCTCAAGTCTTTAGCAACCTCATTCAACAGCTGGTTATATGACAGTGACAACTGTCAGGCGATCCACAACAGGAAATTCAGTGAGGCGTTCGAAGTGTATACAGGAGTAATACAAGACTGCCTTTATTAACCGATGATATTCTTCATTGTGGTGGACTGGATTATGTGTCAGACTGTGCACAGGGAGCGAGGAGACAGGCATACACTGAACCACCAATAACGAGACTCCATACTGAAGAAGAAACGGCCAGCCAGCCAGAAAGACTTGTCATCGAGTAACTCTGGCAGAGAATAAACCAACCAAGAGCCGATCGCTCAACAAATATGTAGGAAAAATGGAGACCGTCAAATATCTTCGCGTGCAATGCAGGCCATCGGTCGAGTGGAATCCAAATGGGAAGAGATGAGTGAGTCTTTGGTGCGAGGTTGACAAGGAGGAGATCGTGTGGTGATTAGGAGATGAGAGATCGTGAGCAGAAAATAGAACAAAGTGGCGACGTGTTTTTGAAGTCCTATGTTCTACTCGAAATCCAGGGGGACAATAATAATAGTGAATTTCGTAATCAGTCTATGATGGATGTGTAAGTGATTGCTCCTACTTTTATAACAATAAATGTGACAATTGCAGTACGACGACATAAATTTATTCAAAGAAGGATTCTGCCAAGCTATTTTTACTGGTCGATAGTGTGTGCTACTCTATGATATCAATAGCGGCATATCGTTCATTTCAAACAGTAGCACTTGTAGCCACATCGATGTGATTTATTCATTTGGCACCAAGCTTATCAGCAACGTACTCGGTTTGACTCAACTCAAAAAACAAAAGCAATTGAAATCACTTGAATTCTGGCTAGCTCCTTGGGCAAACTCGCAATACGCTGAATCAAACTCTGCAATTTGCAAATTACATAGTTAGAGATAAAGATCTACTCCAGCTTCCTTTGATAACCAAAATTTTTAAGATAACAATATGCGATCTGCCCGATACTCACTGCTGAGTCCTTTTGTCATGCAACAAATATTAGTTGTAAAGTCTGCAATACGCACAGGAGTTCAGAATCTCACTCGTTAAAATATGACGTTATTATATATATCCAAACCAAAATGACTTTTAACAGTTTGAAAAAACTTTGGGCATTGGGTATATGATATTTTCTTGTATTTCCGAATGAACGAAAAACAAACGATGTTGTTTTTACTGACGTTTCACTATTTAATGCTAAAAGCTTTATAAAAGTATTATTAAACAAGAATTCCCAAAATCTCAGGATATATATAACGAATTTGATCATCGTTCCTCATTATGGGGACGTTTTTCGTTGTCAAGTTGGCCAACTGGTAAAGATAACAAGACCAGGTGTAGATTGTTGCATTTGATAAGTATGTGACAAAGAAAAACGACCCAATACTGAGGAACGATGATTAAATTCGTTATATATATCCTGAGATTTTCTAAATTCTTGTTTAATAATACTTTGATAAAGCTTTTAGAATTAAATAGCAAAACGTCAGTAAAAACAGTATCGTTTTATTTTTCATTCATTCGGAAATACAAGAAAACCTTTATTATAAGGATGTTCTCATACTTTACTTATCTAATCTGCTTCTTAACTTAACGTGCGCTATGGTAGCTGATGTTCATTATTTACCTGTGTAGAGGTGTAGCTCATTGGCTTTAACACTTATTTCTCAGACGAAAATTACTGAGTCTGAACTCCATTACACGTATTACAGCCAAGGGAAGTAAATAGTGTCATCAATGTTCGCTCATTAGGTGTATCTCATAACCTAGTATATAGGAGATCTGATCTGCTTAACTATGTTTTAACATTACTTAATTAGAAGGATACACTTAAGGCGGTATGAACAATATAAAGGCAAAAACCTACTGCCTTTATTTTGCTTCTGATATTAAATATCACTTTAGTGCATATTTTAAATGGCTGAGAATCAAATAATTCACCAGTTTATTTAATGACTTCTGCATAAAATAAACTATACACTTTGAATTATTGAATTCCATATTAGATAAGTTAATCACAAATATAACACAATGATTCACTCATTAATACTGCATCAGTGCGTGATATTTATAATGAACTTATCTAATATGAAATTCTTTCACAGTGCCCAAGTTCTACACTTATATTATCGAATTATTGAATTCAAGCATATTCCCTTATCTTGACATTGAATGATATTTCGTAGAAGTGCTTTTAAACAGTTAGTTTAATTTTTTGCCTATTTCCAAGTTTAAACTTTAGTATTCCAAGGGGGAAATTTTATGGTGTTGTTGGCCCAGTTGGCGGTGGAAAGTCTTCACTACTCAGTGCCATTTTAAATGAAATGCACCGTTTTGCTGGTAGTATTAAAGTTAATGTAAGTTTCATATTTCCTGAGCTCTACTTATACTCTGCATTCAAAGTTAATAAACATTTCAATGAATTAACTGTTTCTGACTTGAGTCACCTGCAATACTTTTTCATACTATGTTCATCATTTCATAACAAACCAAAGTATTAAAAGGTAGTCCTCTGTGGAGCGCCATCTGAAAAAACTGTGAACATTCAAAATCAACCTTTATGATAGCTGGTGGGACCGCAGTGCATACTATGAAATAATTGCTGCGTACATAAGTCTAAACCTTTGTCTTTCACGTACACCGTATTTTGCTTGCGTTACTCTGATGTTTTACCGCATTAACGGTTTATTTTGACGCGTTAGTTTTAATAAATTATTTAAAACGGTTTTTAATAGAGTTAAGTGCGTCAGTGCTTCGTTGGTTTAATTCTGTTCGGCTACGCAGGAGGTATGGGTTCGAGTCCCATTTTAATGACAGTAAGCAGAAAAGAGGCTCGTAAAAACAAACAACACTTGTGCTGATTGAACTTCAAAGCCTGAAGCCTAATACTCTGTTAGAAACTTAAAGAACAGGAAAATTGATGATAAAGTGTAAGCAGGTGTATGATTCACTGAGTTTTGTATAGATGCGAAAATTAAAAAAAATTGTTTACGGCAGTCGAAAATGGTTTTTAAAAGTTGAAAATAGGTATATGAGGGCAAAAACCAATATGCTTACCATGTTTAGATGACGATATATAGCTAATGAATTTTTTCTATGCATTTCAACTTACCCTGAGATTTGTTGAGTTTTAGAAAAGCAAAATTAACTTTATTCAGTATATACTGGAACAAGCAGCATTTGGTTATACTCAAGACAGCAAAAAATATTTCTATCAATACTCGGACTTAGTGATATATTCACTGTAGACTAATGTCAGAAAATTTTATCAAAATATATTACACGAAATTAATCGAAGCCCTGTTTACTCATAACAGCAATTTTCGGTGAGAAGGTAACTTTAAGTTATAGGCAGCAACATCACATCAACTGACTAAATCCACTGAATAATACAGTGAAAAGTAAATCACTGTATTGAACTTGGGAGTGTGGCATTTTTAAGTTCACTGCAGAATTCGTCACGAACATATTAAGAAAATCACTGAAAACCAAAACGCAATGAACAGCTGTCTTTTCCCAGTATGAGAACCTTGAGCAGTTCGGTGCCACTATGTCAGTAGTAGGAATTTACCGGAGGCTAATATGGTTGGATGACAAAGTTGCTTAGCTAGTAACTGGCAGGTCATGCACTCCATCTCCAATGGGATCGCAGTTAACTAACCTGCACAACAAAGGTTACATTATTTGCAATTAATAGTATTCTCTGAGCTGGTTGGTTTAGTTGCGGAGCTTTCTTCATCCTTCTAAACCAACCAGCTCAGAGAAGACTTTTAATTGCAAATCATCCACCTGAGCTGCAAATCTTCTCTATTATTTCTAAGGTTACATTATACTTGTATTTATTTGTATTCAAGTTTTGAATTCAGGTTTACAAGTTACGTAGTTAAAATACGGGCTATTTAAAGTTGAAAAATGTCCTGTGACCTATTTCACAAAATCTCTAAATAAAATATGTTTCCTGAATCACTCAACCTTTTCCGTGCAGTGCTCACAGCTGAAATAATTGATAGACTTTATAATAGTTATCTTCAATGGAAGATTTTTGTAGTATTCTTGGAGCTTCAACGAAAAGCAAATAGCTGTTTGTGTCACTTTTGTTGTTTCATATTCACATTTGTTAGAATAATTGATATATATTTTCCGAAATTTTATCTTTTAGGGTACTATAGCTTATGTTTCACAGCAGTCCTGGTGTCAAAATGCAACTATTCGAGATAACATCCTGTTTAATCGCACAATGGATAACGAGTGGTATAAGGAAGTTGTTCGAAAATGTTGCTTGTTAGAGGATCTTAGACAATTACCGAATGGTGATGGGACTGAAATTGGTGAACGGGTAATGTTATATGCTTATTGTTAATAATTATAGAAAGTTGAGTAAAATGCTAATTAGTTATTATTATTAGTTTTACCATCGAGATTTCAATCAGCGACACACAGATTCTTAACTCAGTTTAGCGGAGTATAGTCAATGAATATATTTCTGGAATTTTTGATTGTATCTTGATTCCACATCGTATTTTTGGTACAGGTATGGAATTTTTAGAGTGGCCCAATTTTGCAGGCCAACCATTAATATCAGGTGTGCATCTGCAGAGGAACGAACCGCTGACCATGCACATGGTCAGCGAGAGCCCTAACCGCTGTGCCACCGAGGCATATAGGATAATCCATATGATTTATTTCTAAAGCCAAAAATTTCCATGTAACTACTGATCTTCATTACTCCTGCAATACGAAAACCGAGGTAAATGAGGTAAAAAAACATAAACGAAGCAAATCACACAGTAGTCAGATTTTGGTACTCTGTGTGAAGAACGTTAAACGTCAACTATTTGATTCAAGCGTCTGGAAGCTATAAAACATGCTTCAGGTAAGCAGCTGCCAAATAATATAGGTAGAATAGGTAAAGACCTTTGGAAAATTTCAAATATCGTACAGTTTCAAATGTATTTAGGCGTTTCATTTTTTCTCATTGAAGAACTGATCAATTACCTAAGGCTATATATTTCAGCTGCGTCAGACTTTATGAGTAACACAGACAAGTTATATAATTCAGAATGTATTGTTTATTATGAAAATATAGTGTTACACTGTAAAATGCCTTGAGTTTCAGAAATCCTGATCATAAAATTTGAGATTCACACTGCAGAAACAAGATAAGGCGACTGCAAAAGTCGAGTCGCGTATAAATAAGAATATTAAAGATTTCATACTATATTTAATACAACAAATAAATAATATTCAAGTATTGGTTTGTAGGGATTTGGTTGATTGGTTACAGGATTTCATCATGGGCTGACATTAGTTAGAGAACTATTGGAAAACCTGGGAGTACTGGACAGTTGTTTCGTCCTAGTTTGGGACTTTTCAGCAGCACGGTCGTATACCATTAAGCCACTGGAACCCGGTCCAATGGCCCATGAATTCCAACTTCCATTAGATAATATCTGGCATAGGGACAAGTTTCTAACACCTGTATGATGAATATCTAGGTTGTATTCTTCATGTAGTAGAGCTTAATGGATTGACTAAGATGATAGTACACACTTTAAATAACGCAATTTAAGCTACAATGCAATTCCGAATTACTGGTCAACCTATAAAAATTGTTCCCTAAAACAGTATTATTTAAATGATTGAATGTAAGCTAACCTACACAATTATTTGAGTTTTCATTTCTTCAAAGGCGTTGTATGCATAAAAAGTGTCAGTAATACATTAGTTTAATCAAAAAGATGATAAATGTAAAACAAAGTCCAAGGATGAACAAATTTAGCATTAAAACTTAAATTTAAACTAAGTTGTGAATGAAAAGAATGTCAGTGAGATTTTTCGGTCAAACCAAACTAGTTATTGTGAGATTGAAGATCGAGATGGATTGGGTAGCTGTTCGTTCACATCACTTTTAACATCATTAGTAGTAATAATGAAGTGTACATTATTTTGATATAATTGTCTTAAAAAATGTATTAAAAGAAGGCAAATGAGTTCAACAGCATCACTTTAATACAAGGCTTTCAGATTGTTTTCTTCGATGCAGTTTTCGTTATTTCACTTCGAAAAAAAATACCATGTCAGCAGCTCAGAGCATAATGACCGAAACTGATGTGTGAAAGCGTCATCATAATTTCGCTGAAATTTCTAGAAATTTAATAATTTCCCATTTATACGAAATTCCTTTGATCTAGTTTTTATAGTTCTTCTCCTAATTTATTTATTTAGGGTTTAAATCTATCTGGAGGTCAAAAGCAACGTATAAGCTTAGCCAGAGCTGTTTATCAACAATGTGATATTTATCTACTCGATGATCCTCTTTCTGCCGTCGATGTTCGTGTCGCCGAACGGTTATTCAAGGATGTTATTGGTCCAAATGGTCTCTTGAAAAATAAAACACGTGTATGGGTGACACATCGGTTAGACAATCTTTCACATGCTGATAAGATATTACTCATTTGTAAACAAAACCAGAGGATAGAAAACAATTTCCGTATTATTGACGAGTTCCAAGGTGAAAGTGCACAGCCAGTCAGTCAGTGTGAAAATCCTGAAAACATGAATAGTAAAGAGTCTATTTGTCAAGAAAGTTATATACTTGAAGAAGGGACTCATGAGGAACTGTTGAAACTAGATAAATTATACGCATCTTATTACCGTACACACATATCTAATTCTAATGGAGCAAAACAAGGTTTGTTGAGTGATATATTTTATCTTTGATAAACACAAAGTTATCACAATGATTTTTAAGAAGAATTTTCAATCAAAGTTAACATTGATATTTCTTGCGAAAATAGATGAGGTTGTATTAGTTAATAATTCTATCTGAATTAATTAATATGTGCATGACAAGGTCAAGTTTTTTCTGATAAAAGTTTTCATATTAGTTAACGACTGTCTTCATAATTTACAATAGATACATTTATCTAGGAGCATTTATGAAGTATATTAGTTTGATTATTTATTCAGATGTAGACATGAGCACCGAATAACATACGACAGCGAATAGCATAATAATAATCTAAGTAGGAAGTCAGGAAGAATAGTCAGAATATAACAGACAAATATTTGAAAACCTGGGAGTACTGGAGGGCTATTTCGTTCTGGTTTGGAACTCTTCACAGTACGCACCCACCGGGGTTCGAATCCAGGACCTTCTGGTTACAAGGCTAGCGAGCTCGTAGACCATTAAGCCACTGGAACCCGATTCAATGGTCCTTGAATTCTAACTTCTGCCAATTCACGACATAGCGCGACCACTTCACAATGTCTTCTTCGATGAGTTACTGCCTCATCTTCAACTTGCTGTACCCTACTGGTCACGGCTTCCCACTAGAACCCCAGGTTAACTGCCTGAATAGGGCCAGTCACCAGTGAGCAACAGATTAATTTTCAAGTATTGGTTTTGTGGGGATTTTGTTTGATTGCATAGAGGATTTCACTATCAACTGACATCGGTTAGAGAACCACTGGAAAACCTGGGATTACTGAACACCTGTTTCATCCTAGTTTGAGACTCTTTATTTGATATCCTTGTTGAAGATAGGAATAACGATAAGGTGCTCCTGAACTACCCAGACTTTTGAGCACAATTTACATTTTATAATTAAAAGATCCAAGAGTTAGTCATCTGAGTCATATAGTGTATTATGGGTGAAGTGCCTTTTGGACCTCCAATTCATTTCAAGTTAAATAACAGATCATATAGCACTGTTCTTCTAAGTAGAAGGGACAGATCTGTAAGCCAGATAAACCTCTTTACAAAGTTTTCTAGGAAGAGTTTTAAGTACATTTGATGACTGTCGACTCTCATACTGTCCATATCAAAGATCTTTTTGTGGATAACGCAGCTTACCAGCCAGTAACAGGTCCGAAAGGGAGGGTACGCCAGGCGTCAGACTAGCAACCTCACCCTATAAAAATAAAGCCACATCCAATGAAACTGCAAAACCTGTAGCTCTGTGTTCTACTTGAAAGTCATAGGGATGAATAAAACTTTTTGAACAGTCTGAAAGACCTTTCGGTTCTTTCCAAATTAAGCTATCTTATTCATGCCGTTCAAATCCCATGCTATCTTGGTTTGGCATCCTTTTAGAAAGTACCATACAGTTTTACATGAAATGGCCTTCTGCGAACAAACGTATCTTTTATATTTAACCTAAAAATTGCAAGAAGCCTGATGAAAACATCCGTTTGACAGTGTACTAACTTTTATAGCCTTGAAAGGCTTCACTCGCCATCCTCAAGGCGTTTTGCGATTGCTGCAGAAGTTTGTTCGTAATTTGACAAGCTTACTAGATGTTTTGAATTTCGCTGATATGAATTGAACTAAATTTTCAAAGTAGGCTTTTGCACAGAAGCGCAGCACTTCATAACCACTCACAAAAATGTACAAAACAAACGCAAAGAAACTACACTAAATGACATTGTGCAGTAGAGACAACAGTGATATGGCAAATAATGAGAATGAAATAATGAAAATCTTCAACCACTAATTTTCAGTGCATCAAGGTCTCCAGCCGGTTAGTCTGCGCCATCGTGTGTGACTCAAACCAGCAGTAAAAAGTATCCCAGGAGGACTCTCAGTTTCGATTCAATCGCCTCTGACTATTTTTCAACTCAATACTATATCAGCTATCACTGTTTGTTGAGGGAGTCGGTTAAAAGACATGTGTAATACATGTTTCAATCAGCATAGTTTGACTGACCTTCGCTCCTTACCTAAACTCTAAGGCCAATTTCAATGTTATTCATCATATTATATCACTTAAAAATGTAGACATAACCGAAACAACGGTGGTCAAATATGGATATACTGGGTGTTCGCTAAGGTGCTGTTCCAACCTACTAACTTCATGCTACCTAACTCGCTGAAGGATTCTATGTTCACATATTAGTGAGTGATAAGTGGGTATAGAAATAACGTTTATAGCTGAACACTAAAAGAGAGAATAATTGTCACTTGGGGAAAAACTTTTCACAATGTTTTTAAATTAATATTTCCTAAAGTGAAAGGATTTTCTGACATGTTGATGGTCAGAGACCGACACCTGACCAAACAACATATCACTGAATTAAAACAATTATTCAACTATAAATATTTCCTAATAACAATCTTCCTTCATTTCATGCATGTGACACCGATGAATATAACATGATTCTTGCCTCAAATTCCATAGGAAACTCCAGGATAGAATTGCCTACTAACAATGGTGACCAGTGTGGTATTAATCATAATTGTACTGATGATTTGTACCGTTCAAATGACACTTTATCGACAAGATGTGGTATTGAGGATTACACATCCATATTTAAATCTGTGGAGGAGGAAAAAACTGAGACAGGATCAGTAAGTTGCCTGAAATTATTTTCTGATAGCGTTATATACCATTGAAATACTGCTGGCCTCGTACAATAAAATAAGTTTATGCAAATTAAGTGATGGTCATAACAAACCGTTTAAAATAACAAATCACACATTTATAAAATATGCAGTCACAGTCAAGATCTTTCACAATGTCTGAAGTTTAATTCAGATCACTGTTGATTACATAAGTCTCTTAATTACAGGTTGCATTTTAAGCAACGCTTCATCTTTTGACATATATGATAATTGTTTATACTGCCTCCTAGATTCCTCTCTGTGCACACAATAAGGAAACAAAAAGAAAAGACCTAAATTTTCAAGAATTATATGGTCGGTCCTTTTCTCGTCTTGGGAGGAAACGCTTTATTTGTTACCGAATTTTCTGTTTAACCAGAAGTAATTATCTAATGAAAATGTAATTCTATAATAGAAATCGGTTTAAATTTTTATTTGTAAACGTTTGGGTTTCTTTTAATTGACGTATCGTGTTTAGATAAGTTTTCGTGTCCTAAGAGCTTATGGAAATGCATATGGTCACTGGAAACTTTCGCTTACTTTTGGAGCGTTCATATTACTTGGTATAGCTGCTATTACAAATCAAACATGGCTTGGTTATTGGTCTGGTAAAGAAAGTACAAAGCAATTTAATTTAACTAACGGAAGCCACACTCTGTTGTACTACATAAGCATATATAGTATACTTGCTTTCCTTCAAGGTAAGACGATTTCCATATAAGTAATTTGTTTCTATTATCCACTGCTCAGAAGACTCTTAAAGAGTCTCTTAAAAAACTGTTTTTCCTATAGTTTGTTAAATTACTTAGAAAAATTAGAATTGCATCTCTCGTTCTGTCCGAAATTGACATTTCAAAAGCTTTTTTAGATTACTTCTGTATGACATTTCTTCTTACTCGTTATTTGTGGAAGTTATATAGCTTATAAATGAATCTTCCCTTAAGGTTTTAATATTTAACGACAGAAGTTTTAGATTTTAAATTTGGTCCAATTAGCCATTCGCATTTGTCCAACAGCGTGGAAGTTTATGTTTCAGAACTAAGAATAGATATCATATTCATATTTATAACCTTAAGTACCCAAAATCTGCTACCCCAGCGTTAAACGCATATGGATTAATTGCACTAAGTTGAAGTAGGAAATGTTATGCTTTCCAGTTTCATTAACAGTAGCCTTGAATAGCATCTTTTGATACTTCAGGGGTACATTTATCTTGCAGCAGTCGAAAGCATGGCTTATAATTAAGTTTCCTAAACATTCTTTAGCATAATAAACTTTCAGTTTTTTGAATCTTTCCATAAATCGCTTTATTCCCAGACAGAATTCATTAGAAACTGGAAATAATATTGTATGTAATATTGCAAGAAGACAGAAATTGATTGACACAACCACTTAGTTATTAATTAGATCATTAGTGTCCTTCAAATTCGCTGTCCAATTTTTAATAGCCATCTACCTTAAATTGTGATGAAATGGGCCTGAAGATGAAGATTTAGTTGAATAGAGAAATGAACTCACTGAGCACACTGTTTATAAACATATTACTAGACATCCAGGTGTTATTAATGAAGGCGAAGAGGTTTTAGCACAGTGGTCTGGTATAATTTTCCATATGTGGTAAGTCTATTTTATATGACATACAGCGTTACAGAAATAATAACTGGATAACATTTAGAGCACAATTAATTTCTCATAATCATATCGGTTTATTCAAATGACTTCTCAGTTTACTTTATATGGCTCGACCTCCTGCTGTTTTCATTGGAGTTTTACCATATTTCTAGTATAGGCGTTGCATTATTTCTACTGTACGCGTTTGGTGTTGATTCGACGAAAACCTTACTAAGTTCGGATAATCTGGGAATTTATTTGGAGCAAACTTAAATAATCTAGAAAATTCCCCGACATTGTAATGTATTCACTTGCATATAATCACGTAATAAGACGAAATACAGTAAGAATATTAAAAAATGATATGGTTAGGTGGAGAATGAGGTTAACTGCCGAATGTTCATTCATCGAATCAACACCAAACGCGTACAGTAGAAATAATGCAACGCCTATACTAGAAATATGGTAAAACTCCAATGAAAACAGCAGGGGGTCGAGCCATATAAAGTAAACTGAGAAGTCATTTGAATAAACCGATATGATTATGAGAAATTAATTGTGCTCTAAATGTTATCCAGTTATTAATTCTATATCACTGTATGTTATATCTAATAAACTTGTTTAGTGCGGAATGCATACGTTATATATCATTCATAGTGTTTTTTTAACTAATTTAAATTTGTATGATAATTTGGTATAGCAAAACATAAACAACATTTTTTCAAAGTTATACACGCGGTGACATTACATTGATTCTCTCAATATCTAAATTAAATTCTTCGTGATAATTCACTACTTCTTATCTTTCAGTTGGCTTTTTTCACCTACGGTGCCGATTCTAGGAAATCATTTTCAAAAGTTAATTTATTTAAACAAGAACTTAAGTTGAATTTTTTAAATGAGAAGTCGGTTAGGACGAAAAATATTCTTTTCAATAGATTCTTTTAACATTCTAACAGTTATAGAATAAAATATTTATCGTGAGCTGACATTAGTTAGAGAACCACTGGAAAACCTGGGAGCACTGGACAGCTGTTTCGTCCTAGTTTGGGACTCTTCACAGTACGCACCCACCGGGGTTCGAATCCAGGACCTTCTGGTTACAAGGCTAGCGAGCTCGTAGACCATTAAGCCACTGGGACTCGATCCAATGGTCCATGAATTCTAACTTCTGCCAATTCACGACATAGCTCGACCGCTAGCCAATGTCTTCGGTGAGTATTTGTCCTCACACCCGACCTGCTGTACCCTACTGGTCACGACTTCCCACTGGGACCCAGGTAACTACCTACCTGAATAGGGCCAGTCGCCAGTGAGCATCTTATTGGTATTCAAGTGTTGGTTGGTTCTCTAACTAATGTCAGCTCATGATGTAATCCTGAAACCAATCAAATCCCTACAAACCAACTTTTGAAAATATTTATCATTTCAATAAAAACCAGTTTTTTCCTTTCCTATATGTTATGAATCTCTTGTGACCAGTCACCACTATACTCCCGCACTTCGCGATAGTTTGTAATTTCATTCATCTTAACACGTTTGTCACATACATTCTACTTGTTTTGTCATCCTAAGAGCAATCTGCTATTCTACGTAAAAATAAATCCGCCACATACCTGACTATTATTGCAGTGGTCATGTATATTTTACTTTGTAATTCTGAAGACCTGAAGGAAATTTATTGGAAAGAATATTCTTCTTTCAGATCAAATTCCAATTCATCGCGTGGAAATATTCTACATTCTTGAATTTTTTTATTGTTTTACGTAACAGTACTTTTCACGGGTGTACAGAATATACTCCTGAATTTTGGATCAGCTAGTGTATCCAGTATAACTCATTCTCATCTCTTACGTTGTATCCTGCGTGCACCAAGTGAATTTTTTGATACAACACCATCCGGAAGAATACTGAATAGGTAAGTGTTCTGCACGTTACAGAAAAATTACTAACTCCCCATTCAAAAATGCAAACAATTATTTCAACATTGTTCACATTTTATGTTAAAATAACTATAAAGCTTTTTATTACAGCTTTACTGATATCATGGTTTGAAGAATAAACTCTCATATGGAATGTGGATGGGTATATTACTTGTTTTAATCTTAGTTGGAGTTGTGAAAATGCGATAGTGAAGCTTTTCAAATTAGAGCGAACCACCTATTGACTTCTTTTTGGTTTGGGATGGTTTCCCCAAACGTGTTTATACTTGTCGAAATCTACCTGGAAATAGATTTGCTAAACATTAAGACTGCATTTGAATAATTCCCGCTTTTTATAAATACTATTCTACAGTTGCTTTATTATGTGAATATTTTTGCGATGTAATTCACAAATGATTTTAGCTTTCCTATGAAATTCATTTTTTAAATGCTCATGAGTAACCATTTTAATGCCACTTTTCATTAGAACTTAATAACTATTATTACACTACTTTTTACACACACTATCTCGTCTTTAAATGTATTAAATAGTCTTCAGAGGCTTCATTCCAAAAGTTTTTGTTGACAGAAACACTAAGCATTACATAAAAAAATAAGTGAGTCCCACAGACTTATTTCAAGTCCATTTATTCGATTGTTCTAGTGATGGAATATCACGATTACTTTATTTTACTTTGCTTTATAGATTTTCAAAGGATATTGATATTATTGACTCACAATTACCATATAATATGCGTGTTGCACTTGTCACCCTGTCTCATGTGTTAGTCTGCTTTACGCTAATATGCATAGCATTACCGTGGTTCTTAATCGCGCTAGTTCCAATTATTGGATGTCTTTTCATTTTACAACGATTTTATATGGCTACAAGTCGTCAATTGAAGCGTTTAGAATCAGTCAGACGTTCTCCAGTACTTTCATACTTTCAAGAAACTCTCTCAGGGATATCAGTAATTCGAGCATTTAAAAGAGAAAACGAATTTCTAAGTAAGTTGGCACACAAAAGGAAAAAATTTAATGTAATGGATTGTATAAAATTTTGTATTGGTAACGCATTTTCTGCTAGTTTTATCTAGTAGTTAATACTGTAATATTAGTTATAAAAGTTACTAAGTGGAATTTTCTATATGCTCTAAAGTTTATTTCTGCTGATTAGCGATTTCATACATTTATTCCCCTTAATGAATTTGAACAAAGCAAGAACTACAGTTTAGGCAGAATAATATGGTACCATCATTTATTTCGTTGGCTTCTCATCAGCTGCTTGCAGCTTGCAAATTTTACATGTTGTCAGTTGACAGAAAATTCCACAATTAGCGATTTCTCAGTTTCCTTGATAACTTCGACTTAGGTAATGATTGTTTAGCTTCATTACGTCTAATGAACATAACATACCTAGACTGTTTGAAGAATTGGAAACCTTTTCTACGTGGTCTTTAGTGCAGATGTGTGTTTGTATACCTAACCAATTGGATGTGAAGGCATAGAATATGATGTAAAACATAAATTTGATTTCAGAATAACTTGTTATCCAATAAGTTTATCATTCCTACATCATATGTTCATTTTGTTCTCCTCCTGGATGTCATGAAGCCGGCTACCTGAGCGCCATTTGGTAGAACCCATCTTCGATTCAAGTCTGGCATGAAAGGTAGTTATAATTGCAATATTTGGAAATCAGTATTTAGGATACGATTATAATCAGTTAAATAAGTGGAGAATCAATGTACACCGGGCATATGCATAGAAAAAGTGCAGAAATAGAATATAAATGCAGTGGACACATGTGTTCAGAAAACAGAACGATTTATAGGATATCGGTGAAGGTTTTCACCATTTAGAAGATATCTGAGCCATTGTATATGACTTCCACTGTTGCTATCAATAATTTCCAAGGGTTGGTATTTAGCATCCAGAGAACTTCACCAGGTACACTACGCTTCACCATGTGACTAATACCAAAAGTCAGTAACTTGAAGAATTTCTGAAATGTTTTCATCTGTCCACACTCAAAGTGTTTTGTAACCGGGTTTTGCTTCCAATAAAACTGCTTATTGTATAAGATGTGATACTTTTTGTAACCATTTTAAACTATACAGCTATATAACCTTGCTAATTGAATTTTTCTATGCATCTGGTACTCGGCATCCAAATTCATTATTGCTTCCTATGTTGATTTCAAATAGATAAAGTAATGAGTTTATTTAACCACTGGATTCACTAGTCTCAAACTAGTTGTTAGTGCAGGTCTGTCCATCGATCGAGAGGAACTGCACACGAAAGATATCCTCAATCTTTCTAGAGGTATTTAAGAGACTGTATTTTCTAAGTGTTTTAATTAAAAAGCGATCATATCATATTCTTATTATATCTTATGTGGTTTCAAAAACTGTTTGAAACACATTTCAGTATTCTACAATTTCATATATCTGTTTGGTTTTAACTTCCAGCTGTTGAATTAAATTAAATAGCTCATGGGATAAATTGATCGCTTTTTTGACCTTGAGAAACAAGAATATAATCAAGTTTTGAAAGTTTGTTGTTTGTATTTTATTTATTATTTATTTTATTTTTCATTTACAGCTTGATTCCACAATGTATTTTTGGTACAAGTATGGAATTTTCAGTATGGATATCGGTAGCCCAAATTTTGCAGGCCGACCATAGATATCAGGTGTGCGTCGGCGGGGGTTCGAACCTTGGACCATGTGCATGGTCGGCGAGAGTCCTAACCACTGTGCCACCGACGTATTGTCACGTGTATTTTACGCATAGCTTTTTCTATGAATTTAAGAATTTTTTGTAAGAATTTTGGAATTGGTAAAAATAAATTCCGTGTACCCATTTTAATTTAGAAAACTGTACTGTCGTTCAAATGACATTAACTGCATCTTGCACAACATAGGCTTTATTAATCCTGAAAGAGTTAATCAAGTGTATTTGAAATAAATTTACTGTTATCTGTTAGTACAACTAGACTCTAGTGCATACTGAATTTTGCATGAGTGTTTGGCGATTTCCACTTGTGAAGTCTCTGATGTCGGTTCATTACGTCATCTATGCAGAAACTGAGTATACATTCACGTACTCAACAAAATGGCTCCACTTATTATTTTACTGAATGTTTTACTAGGGAGACATTTCTGCATTCACTGATCATTTTCTTTTATTCTCGGTTACCTGGGTATGTCTTCTGCAAAATCGTGATATTTTATTTTTGAACCTCAATTTTTTCCCATCATTACAACTACATTTGCTTAAACCATTCGAGTAACATTATGTTCTTTTACCACTAAGCTATGTACGTTCTCAGGCTCGTTCTATAGAACAGCTACTTAATATTATATAGAAATAAGCTACAAATAAATTCTAACTAAAACGTTTCACATAATTAAAATATTCTTATAAATAGGTACTTTTAATGAGAGTTGCAACTTTATGACTGTAATATAAAAGGCCTAACTATCTCCCACATAAGACTGTTACACTATCCAAATTCTACTCTTATACGTTCCATTTTTATACATGAAGTGACTGTCAAGGGATTCAATGAAACCACGCATCACAGCCAAAACCGACTCCCTGTGGTCTGAACGCAGGATACCGATCTCTTCGTCTTACTGTATAGTTGACAAAACTTCCTTGAAGAATGCACAATCACAAAACACTCCAAACGCAGCAAAAGGACCATTGTTTCTAGTTGAAATCTATGTGTGGTTTTATTCAACAACACCAACAACATCTAAAACTCAAGATTACCTCAATAATAAAGTCACGTAGCTATATAGACGAGGTAACTTTCTGAGTACAAAGCAAGTACAGTAGAATAAAAATTGTTTGGCTAAAATTCAACTGTTAGAAGAATTTAGAATCAAGTGGATTATTCGCAGCAAGGTGAGACTGAAATCTCTAACCAACGACACACCAACGTTTCCCACAGGCAGTCCAAGGTTAGAATGACCTTCATCCATTCAGACAAAATCATATCGCGAAACAAAGTGGCTTTACTGCATATCTCCGCTAAGTGTAGCATCATAGTCTATTACTGTGGTGGTTTATTGACAAGTTATATGCTTTTTAAATCTTTTAAAAAACTTTTGAATTAAAAAAATTTTTTATGATCAACAAATTGTCGGTGGCATTATACTCTTGAACTGCGTTACATTTGCTGTACTTTTGTTAGAAAATGTTGCCTGATATTGATATTTGCGCAATGTAATAGGTTAAAGTACGCAGTGAGTTCAAAAGATAAACGCATATTAATGAATTTCCATGTAGTCATGCTGGTGTATTTTAGCGTATTTGTCAAAACTCCCTAATACCCACCCGATAAAGTTGGCGCCACTTCAAAAAAGGCATATGCCATATAATCACCTCAAAAAATAACTCATTATCAAAGTATCGCACAACCAGAAAGAGAAGTATTAAAATTAGAGATTAAGCAGTGATAAAGACAAATAATGAGGGTCAAGTCAACCAACATATGATATGCAAATGTCAGAACAATGATATACTGTCTAGGAGAAAATAGGACAATAATTATAAAGTTAGTTGAAAAATCCAAAAAGGTATAAATACTGTAATTAGATTGTTCAGGAGGTATTTTCGAAACAATATTTCCGTCACATCGCCTATTGGCTTTGTTAAGAATAATTTCTGAACTAGTTTCAACATACAAGTATTTCTAATATTTACTTCAAAATTCAGTACTTCCATTTGTTTTCAGAAAATTATAGAGCAATGTTATTGCGATTTTCACCATCCTACGCATACATACACATATTCTTTGTTCAAACAATCACTACTTATATTTTTCAGTGGAATGATACTCCAGTATCACTGTTCAACTAACTAACATATGGAGTTTTTTTCATTCCACGTGTAAAGTTTCTTATTTTAGTCTTCTAATTACTCTGAAATTTAAAAAAGCCAGACGTTTGTCATGTTTGGAAAAGTAGAATTGACTAAAGCCTAATGTTATTTTGTATAGTAGAATCAAGATCATTACAGCTCATTGTTATTTCAAAATTTGACGAAAGAGGTAACTATGACAACTTAGTCATACCTCCATTTTTTATTAGGAATTTCAAAGTACATTCAGTAAACTTAATCGTTGTTGATTCATGCTACAGTATAGGTACATTGGTTTAATTTTATGATTATAACAGATTTTCTATAGTTTGGTTTGTAAGGGTTAATTATGTTTTTACGAGTTGATCACGGATTGATGTCAGTTAGAGAAACATTGAAAACCAGGGATTACTGGACAGCTGCTGTTTCATCCTAGTTTGGGGATCATCGGCAGTACGCACCCGCTGGGATTCGAACCCAGGCCCTTCCGGTTACAAGGTAAGCTCGTATACCATTCAGCCATTGGGACCCGATTCAGTGGCTCGTGAATTCTAACTTCTACCAATTCGCGATTTAGCGCGACCCCAACCATTGTCGTTGGTGGGACATGCATCCACACACGTGACATCTAACTGTATCTCACTGGTCACGACTTCTCACTAGAACTCAGGAAACTCCAACCTGTAGTAAGTCACTAGCGAGCGTCAGATTAATTTCCTATAGTTTGGTTTGTATTGAATCGGGTTCCAGTGGCTGAATGGTATACGAGCTTGCCTTGTAACCAGAAGGACCTGGGTTCGAATCCCAGCGGGTGCGTACTGCCGATGATTAACAATAAGTTCTCTTTGTAATTCCTCTTTCACAAATTATGAAATATACTGAAGCAATCTGTATTCCGTACAGTCGAAATTAAATACAGAATAAGAATACTAAAAGCGAATACATGTTTTTAATAAATTTTTCACGAATGTTAACATGCAAAAGCTAGTGAAGGTAAATGAAAATAATATCAGAAGGTGTATTTTGGTACAAGTGGAATATGGGAGAATACCCGGAGAGTTCTGATTACCAATTAAATTCATATTAAAAGGATGAGATAAAATGAAATGATTTAATGATGTTTTTGCGTACATATGATCAACAAAAAGTATGGGCTCCCGTGGACCACTTGTAGGAAGTAGTGAGAGGGACAACATGAATACTACAGAGCAGTTAAACAACAAATAGGATTTACTAGACATAGGCACAACGGTGGCAAATAAGGGTAATAAGGATAGAATTTTAACGATGGAGTGGTATACTCTGAGAAAGCGGTTGAGGTAATGGTGAATTTATTCGAGTAGAATTAAACAGATCGTGCAAATACAAAGACAAATGTGAGAAACACTGTCTTTACCAAAGGTAATAGAAATAGTCAGAAATGTCATGGAATCTCGAAAGGTCTGAAATAAAGTTTGTCAGTGAAAGAAATGTTAATTATCAATGTTTTATGGAGGATTTCTTGACCTTGTGGTAAGCCAAGGTGAACAAAATGGCTGGATATACTTCTTCTGGATACAGAGACGAGGTCTTTTGATACTGACTGGTACCTCTTGGGTTACTGATAGAAAACTCTTACGAGCACCTCAAGATAGACTGTTGGGTATACCATGGAGAGTTTCTACTGTTGTTTAGTTAAATGTCCACTGACTCTGATTTGACTTGGTTGGCCACAGTATGCTAAAACTAATGAATTCATAATTGTATGACCCGGTGAAGTGTTTGCTGAAAACAAGTGTTCACTCTAATTATTCTTGTTCTGAATAATTTATAGAGATATCCAAGTTAGCAAAAGTTAAATTATGAACAGGAATAAAACCCACACGTTCTAATTCCTATAGATTGTTTCGAATCACATTAGCTTAATGGCCCTTAGTTCACAATTCTGTGAATATATTTTTTCAACTAATAGGTTTGCTTTGTTAATTAGTATGTCTTGTTCTAGAAGAGAATTATGAAAATGGAGTTGCTGAAATGTATATTTGCAAGTGATATGATTATGAATAATAAATTCTGTCCTAAACGACTATTTACTTTGTGATATATCGAATAAGCAAATTAATATGAAATTCATAACTTTTATGTGGTGGGATAAAAATTTTATGACAAAAAAGGGTCTACTGCAAAATCTATGAGTAGTGTAAGAATACTCTGGTATACTTTTCGAAATTGACATTGTCAGCATGGCATCCCTGTGTAAATGCTATGGAAAAAATGTGGTCAGATAATCATTTGGTTACTATTATTACTGAATGACTTTGTTTTTTATCAAATGAACTTCTCTGCTGTGAAACATGTACTATAAAACTAAGCCATTTAAAAGTAACACAGCAGAATTAAACACTGCGTATGAAGCACGTTTACCTGGTGCTAATGGGTAAGTTTTATTCTTTGAGAAAACTCAATTCCAAAAGATATTTTACGCTAGTCGGTAATCAACTGTATGCTTTGTCTGAAACTTATTATTAAAATTATTGCAATATGACAGGTGTATCCCCCCCAGTGAAGTTTCATTAAATCGCGACATTTTTGAGAGGTGGTAGAAGTGTTGTTATGTTATCTAACTAACTACTAGTTCCAACATTTGGCGTAAATAGTTTAGGTATGAGCAAGCAAATTACATTTTTGTGGATAATGATACATGATATGTGTAGTATGTATATTTGTATATATTAAATTTATGATAAAATATTATATCTAGTTTCTTCTAATCTAATTCATTTCAGCCCACTTTGTTTTATCAAATTAACTCTTAATTTAGATACCTGCAATGAATTAGTTGACGAAAATTTGAAGGCTTGGTATCCAATTATTGTATCCTATCGTTGGTTAGGTGTGAACATCGAACTACTGGGACATTTCATCACACTCATCGCGTGCATTATAATTTTATTGACTGTTGAGACAGTTGGACCTGGATTTGCTGGTTTAGCCCTAGTTTATTCGCTATCTGTCTCTAATTTTTTAACATTTGTTATACGATCTAGCTCAGAACTAGAAAACTCAACAATTAGTATTGAAAGAGTGAAAGAATATTCAATGATTCCAAGTGAGGTAAGCCTTTTCTGTAAATAATTCTAAATCCCCTTTATTGAATAAATTCTCCTTAGAATAAACTCATATAATACCAAGTTACATATTAATAAAGTAGATTCGAAGCTTAAGTAGAACAATTGCAACTGTAAATTCATTAAACAGTTGTTTGTAGAATGCATAGTTTGAGGTGAAAACATATCTTAATTTTTTTTCTTTGTCGCATAAGACTTAACCTCTTTAACAGAATTCGAAATCATTTTTATATATAACTGAAATCATTTTTACATATAACTGAAATCATGGAAATCCAAAGGAAATTGACTCTAGTTTTTATATTGAAACATTCCACTCCATCTTTTTATTTCTGTTTTGGTTGAAGTAAGTGTAATTAATGGACCTATCATTTAAACATTCTATCCCATTTAAACTTTGTTATCATCCTCTTGGGTTCTAAGTAAAGGCATAGGACTCCAGCAGCACATTTCCATTTCATCTTGTTCTTTATATTCGTCCAAAGCTGACTGTATGATAGGCCGTCAGATTTGATTACCTCCTCATATGACCTCCTCCATGCCATCGTTGGACTCCTAACTCACTGTTTCTCATTTGAGTTCCACTCTAAGACCTATTTATACAATGATTATTATTTGCCTACTTCGTGTTTTGTATTATTCAACCTCCATTTATTTTTAATTTTGACTTGATGTGATTATGGAAATGTCTATATTAGCACGTTGCCGTCATTATTCGTATAACTGTGCGGATCAACTAAATCTACTTTCTCAGCCATTGCTTTATTACTGTTATTAGTAGTAGTTTCAATTTCAGTGTGTAGCGAGAGACATAGGATAACACCTAAATGGCTTAGGAGTAAGTCGTTGATACAGTTTCAGATTACAGAATCTTATAAGATTAAGTTACGCCTTATTAATAAATGCTAAAGATATGAAACCATAAGTCATTACTGACTCCTCTTAACACCTAGTGCCTACTACAGTAAATAGAAGTTATTAACTGAAAGTTATCTATACCTTACTAACTAATTTTTCGTAATAATATATCTTGTTATATTCATCTAGCGTGCTTTTTTATTAATAGGGTGAATGGCACTTGGATGAATATAACCAACAACTTGAACAGTGGCCAAAAGTTGGCTCTATTGAATTTAATAATTATTCAATGGGTTACAGAAGAGAATTAGAACTAGTTTTAAAGTTTGTAAATGTAAAAATTAATGGTGGTGAACGTGTAAGTTGACGAATCCAATTATTGTTCACTTCGACCTTTGGTGTTTCAAAAATTACTTTCTTTGTTACTTCAAACTAGATTAATTAGTTGATACTCCTAACTCTAGTGTGTTTTCTTACGAATTTCTTACTTTACTGCTGGTATACAAAGTGTTGAGGTTTTCACAACTCGTCAACGTCTAATAAATAAACCAACAGGCAACTGCCTATTAATTAAAGGTCTTTTAGCTACCATGTATTATGTTGTTTGTGAAGTACAGAACACACTTTACCAGTGGTCATTCGCTATGAAATTATCATGAACATATTGCCTGTGATTAAATGAGATGATATAATCTGATGAATGTGACTTCATATTTCTATTTGTCAGAACCTGGGCATGTGGCTTTTCGGTTATTGCTTATGAAACTTCTGTTTCTGTATCATACTTGTTAATTTGGTACTTCTGTCTACTTTATTCACTGTCACAGGATTTTAGTTTAATGTAGGATTGTTACTCGATAAAAGTGCCTAAATTAATCTTGATTTTAGTTAAATGTTCGTTGAGGGAATCTTCGTGTGTGAATGTCTGTAATGTCTGAAACAGAGTACAAACTAACGCAACACCATTAGTTACATCTGACGTCAAAATCGTAACTGTCATACGTTCAACCATTTGCTAAATTTACGAGAGATCTCATTTGTCAAATCTGTGCACACTACATTCTATAGGAGCTCTGCAGATTATGTAAAATAGCACTGTTGAGCTGCTCAAATTAAAGCGAAATTTTTTACTAGAAGTATTTTATAATGTAGAACATACTGAGTAAATTTAGCTTGATGCTGACTTAAGTATAATTAACAGTATGAAGAACCATGTCTTTAAAATATTCGACAGTCTTCTTTATCCAAGATAATATTTACACATAGACTTTGAAGTATTTAAGCCAGAAGTGAATCTTAAGTGTGTATTGACCTCTAAGGAAAAAAGATTTCGTAAAACTCGGAGATATTAGTATGGCGGAAGGCGATGTTAGTTGTGACAGTTTTCAATTAAGAGGCTGAAGAGCCTGAATTAAGATTCGTAGACTATTGAAAAAGAAAACAGCGAATATGTTTGTCTTTTTGAGTCGCTTTTATTGGCACGATTGATCCATTTTTTCAACGCTTCGTGGACTATATGTTTTATTGAAAAGTGACCTAAACAGCCGTTTTCACGTAAATGATTCAACAAAGTCCTAAGTCATTCGTGTCTGGCAATAATTTCTTCATTCTGTGATTGTTTTCATTCAATTTATGAACAGGTTGGAATTGTTGGACGGACGGGTGCCGGGAAATCTTCAATAATCTCAGCTTTATTTCGTCTAGTGGAACCCAACACAGGTCAAATCTTCATAGATTGTGTTAATATAAATCTTATAGGGTTGCATGATTTACGTCAAAAACTTACAGTTATACCACAAGTATGTTGTCGTTTGTGGCATTTTCTATTAAATTTGCTGTAATAAAAAGCTATAACTCTGAAAGTTCAATTCTGCTCTACTTATGCATTCGTTCCTTGTCTATAGGTAATCAAAACTTTATAATCCACGTAGCATGCACACACAGTTTTGTCATCCGTGTTATAGCGATGGTTTTATGGCTTGCGAATGTATTACATAAAAGAAGTGCAGAAGACAATAACTGCTTGGTCTAAATTCAAAGAAGATCTGTTTTATACGCATTTACGATGAGGATAATTACTCATTTGCAGAGCATAGAATCTGTATAGTTCGGATAGTTATGATAAACAGACATATTAACATGAAAATTAAGCATTTTTGCTTCAAATAAAACGAAGTGCTTCCAGTCTTAAAAATAGACTGAAACTTCAGTGAATATGCAGCTGTTATTAGGTAATTTTGTTGCTGAGAAAATTACTAAAATATTTTTCTATTTTTGAGTAAAAGTGCTGGTAACATTTATTTTCTTTGTATCTTATAGGATCCTTTTATATTCTGTGGGACACTAAGATATAACCTGGATCCACTCTGTGTTAAAACTGATGGCGAATTGTGGAATGCCCTTGAAAAGGCACATCTGAAAGAATACGTGATGGCTCAATCAGAGCAACTTGACTTTATGTGTTCTGAAAATGGAGAAAATTTAAGGTAGTTAGACTGTAAAATATCCAGCCGGCGTTCTCCATGCATTATATGCAGTATTTATTATATTTTCTTAGTAATCGTTAAAACGGATATTTGTTTTCACTGTATAAGAGTGTTTTTATATTTCTAAAATACATAGAAAGTTTGCAAAATCTGAAATATCATTAGGCATTGAAGTGTATTTCTTGAAAAGTTATATTTTCTGATGCATTAATCAAACACGTAATCTGTCAATGGAATGGAAAATTTTATTTTCAAAGTAATTTGACTGAAGTTACCAATACCAGAGATTTTTTCTATGGTGTCGATGTGATCTTTACGCAGCAGTTCAGCTCTTCCAAGCAATTTAAAAAGTGTAGCACTAATTACGACTGTATGCACAGTAGTATATTTAATTTGGTATATTAAAATATATTTTTTTTAAATGTTGCAATAGCTAAAATAGTGTAAAGCATTTCCATTAAGAATGTTACGTTATCTCAGCCAGCCTACTTCTTTTACACACAACAATGCCACATGTGTACGAATTTGCACAACTGTTGATGATATTTTGTTCATTTTATTTCATTTGTTTCATTAGTGTTGGACAGCGCCAGTTAGTTTGTTTGGCACGAGCTCTTCTCAGAAACTCAAAAATACTTATTTTGGATGAAGCAACCGCATCAGTCGATATGAAAACGGATAACTTGATCCAAGAAACGATTCGAACACAATTTACCGACTGTACAGTTTTAACAGTTTCACATCGCCTCGGAACTATAATTAACAGTGATAAGTAAGTGTAAGGCATATTTCTCAGTATAAATCGAAAAAAGAGCTCCATTTACATACAGCCTTGATAAAAAAACTTTGAGTCTGATAGTTTTCACGAGTGTATACACATAAGGCCGAATAATGAAATCTCAGGTTGACTACCTCAGGACTCATCAGCCAGATGTATTCGTTTTCATCAATATTTGGAATGTAGAGAATTATTTCACAATTTCCAATAGAACAGATTTATCTTCAAAATTATTAATTCATATCCTATTAAATGTATACTGGCATTTATCAAAGATTTATATACCCATATTTGTTTGATTAATGATTTGATAAACTTAAACAGTTGATCCAGCGTTGGAGGTGTTTCTCCGCAATTTCATTTTCTCTAGCTACTTGATCGGAAATATACAATATATTCTCTCACGAGTGTATGTTTATTCGCTTACGATGATCGTTTGCTTAAAAATTATACACTGTCGAATTGACCGTGAAAAGAACTAATGGTTAATAATACTTGCATAGAAAATGAATAAAATAGAAATGCTTGAATGCTTTCAGTGGGTAAGGATTAGGACTGTGGCTGGAGTAGTAGTTTGAGCTCAGTTATCAATACAGCTAACTTAATGTATTGTTTTCTTGAGGTGCTCTATTTGCTTAAAGTATATAGAGTTCAAGCAGTCTTTCACAATTTTAAATTAATGCAGTAATAACTCTTACATTGTTAAAATTCTCGACGCTAAATTTATACACATCGACTCTATATACACTGAGTAAGACAGAGCTGTCAATCCATTTGCATTTAAATATGTCTATATTTAGTAAAATTTACTACTTATAGTATGCCAATCAGTCTATTTAACTGTATAGCAATAAATCATATGACGCTAACAGAATTAAGTGCCAGACTTCTCTTGCTTATTAATTAATGTCTATTAAACAGGTGAAAAATAATAAATTCAGACAAATTAATAGCGATGAGGTCTGTTGCTTACATTGTTAAACACTAAAAGCGAACCCTCTGAAGGTGGAGGTGCTTATAACATACTTATTTTGTAATAGCAGTAGGCAAGACACGGAAGCGAACGGATATTTTCAGGTGATGAAACCACTATATATATATATATATATATATAGTTTGTCTTCTTTAACCAATCACTGATCGTGTGATTTTGGTTTACACTAAACGACATGAAACAGAATGTTTAAATACATATATTATTCTGTTGCTGGTGCACTTCTGAACTGTGGTAATAGTATTTATACCTTACCACCAGCAGATACAATGATTCTTACAGTGAGAGTAATATTCCGCTAAAACACACTGTCTGTATCACACCACCCCAATGTGATATCATTTTGCAAAGTAAATCTTCAGCTCTAGAAAAATTCATATTTTTTCATAGTGTACAGTTGTCATTAAGTAGTGATCACAGATACATTTCCACTAAAGCATTCATATTGTCAGTATACATAAAATTTGTAAAGTACTTTCCATGTAAATATGCAAAACAAGTGGAGTGTGACACTTCTGTTTTGCTTGTTTAAAGTTCCATCTACATTAAAGTTACGTTTGTTACCGCCAAAGTTTTCTTATAATATAGGCGCTGGTACATTGTAACATTATTATTTTTGATAGGCAACTTGAAATGTTCTTGATTCTCTTTATTCTTAGGATTATAACCATTGCTAATGGACAAATTGTTGACTATGATACACCGGAAAATTTGCTAGACAATACAAATTCAATCCTTCATAAGATGGCTAAAGATGTCGGTCTTATTTAAATACCCACAATATTTAAATACTTGAAAATGGTCTCCTCAAAGATTCCTGTGACTTTGTTTTTCTAAAGAAATGAGTTTAGATTTTGTCCGTTTTCTTTTTTACACAAAATAATATTATAACTTTTTGAACTAGTAGAATATATTACTGTAATGGATCATTTTTGATCTACTTGATGGCATATATCACTGTTCTGAATTTTATTTTGATTTACTTTTACTTATTTTAACTGAATGTCTGACCAAAAGTAAAATCGTTTCCTTACGTTGTTTTGAAGTGCCTTTTTATTACACTACAAGCTATGCGCAGTGTGTTGCTTTTTTATACTGTTCCATTCATGGAGAATGCGTTTCGCTGAAGTTACTGTATGTAAAAATAACTATTTTCCTGAAAGAGTTTTGTTGTATTTCAGTGTTGATTGAAGGTAGGAGTGCTTTTCATTTTTTTTTTACAGTAATAACCCACAAAGATGATTGTAATTGGTTCACAAATTGTAAAAACAGTGAACATTACAATGAACAAATCACAAGTTTGATTTCATATGGAGCACAGTATACATAAATTTACGAAATATTTTCCAAGTCTGACACAGTATGCTTTCTACTATTGAACGAGATGAAAATTGCAGACGATCAGGACTTCCTTTCACGCTTTCTCTTCAGATGGAAAACTATGGTTAATAATAATGAGATTAGGTGTAGTCTCAGGTATATGTAGAAAGTCAGTCACTGTGACTGTGAAGCTTTGTCGAGTGGAATGCCTGAAGTATGTGTTACACATGATAATTCCCCAACTTTCACGACCAATGATGCAAGCTGACCTAGGATTAGGCCATCTCTCATTTTATGCTTATAGGATTGGAAAAACAGCTGTAATAATAGAAATATGGGTATGTAGTGTGCGTCTAACAAAAAACTGTATATATTTTATAAAATAGGCCATTCAAAAGGTTTTGGAAATGTATAATTAGACTGACTATCTTCATCACTATCTTTATATGAGATTCATAAATTATGTGAACACATCTTTTTTTCTTGAGATGGCGTTTCCAGTAACAGAGCCCACCGAATTTCGAAAATTTGGTAGATTATACAAACACAGGTTTTATTGCTTGGAATAGAGGTACATATACTACCAATAGGCAGTGAGTTACTAGGATTATAAATTATAAAAATTGCTAAGGGAACATCACCACTCAGTAGGGATTGCAGGCGCATCCAGATGACGAGCCCCGATGTCTCGATTAGGATGAAATGCACATCCTGGATTCCACTGTTAGTCACTATAATCTACCAAATAACTTCCTTAGGTGGTCTAATTACGATGTAGAACTATAGAAAAGAAAGTTGAATCTTGATTATTCAAACAGCATTCTGAATAGTGAACTACCTGTCGAGATTTAGTTACTTTTGAGGGTTTTTAGTATCAGTGTTGAACGTTGCAGACTGAGATAATGTAACGTTCAAAATGGTGTTTTCTTTGTCCCGATGTAAATATGAATTTTTTGCAGTTAAATTTACAGATCATATTTTTGTAACACATAGCTATGCGAAAGTAATTAGGGTTTTTTTTTCTCAAATGTAATCGCAGTCGTAATTCAGATATTCTTGTTGTAAGCTGTTGAAGACATTAGTCATGAATTGTGATAGTAATTCGTTATCGTTTCTAAATAGAAATCTCTTGGTTTAGCATCTGTCTTTGACTTTCCAAAATTTAGGGAAAATTGTTTGTTTCTGATGATAATTAGTACCACTACGACTATGGAGAACGGAGAGAAAACCTAGTCAAATCAAGAAATGACGAACTAGTTTTAGTTTTAAGAATGTAGCCAATCATGCGCATAAGTTTGTATAGGGACTATTTCAACCCAGTTGTAGGTAAAATTTATTTTGATAAAGTCTCACAGCATTATACAGTAGTATTTACTGATGGAATTATACTCTACCAAAGCGCACAAGTTCTATTCTTATATTTCAACCCAAGTTTTTAGATCGTTTGTTTGAGAAATTATAAGAGCTTTCTTAAATACAAATTTTATGGAGTTAAAACCAGTCTTAAACCAGAAGGTTGGGAAAAATCTGGTCTATGATTCATTGACATCTGTTTATAGCTTTGGAAGATATCAACTGGATGAATCTAAATGTAATTGCTAACCTTCATAAGATCGGTAGTATTGCTAATAATGAAAAAGAAGATCAGTAGTATGACTCTGTGCAAGGCGCCACAGGGACCGTTACATAAGGTGGTAAGATTCAAAACCACTTTTAATGATACTGACGAGTTATCCATCAGTTACGTAGTCATTAGCTTGATCACATCATCAAATTATTTGTTAACCAGCCAATGCTTACATGCCACACCAAAATAGATTTTCTATCATTATTATGGTAGATACTTCGATTGCGCTTCAAAATAAGTAGCAGACACTAGCTTCATATTCTCATTTATATGATGTGACATTTTGAGAAATTACCAGTCACACAAATATCGAAATGGTGCTTGTGGTTATAATGAAACCCTTTTTGTTCTAGACCATTACCTCTACTGCAAAGAAATTTCCTACAAATCACAAATTACACATTTTTTCGATAGACGTGTCATGCAAATTATCAGAACCATGTGGTTATTCACATTCATGCACCGCGTTCTCAAACTTCTGAGGAAATCGACGTATGTTTCGTGAAAACACTTAAGGAGAGATCTTTGGTGATTTTGTTACTGACTTATCTCAGTGATATTATTTGTCGGAAAAGTAAGCAAACTTTTCCTTCAGATCCTTACATCACTTATATTACTCACATACATATCTGAAACTACAGGATAAAGTGTAAATAATTCATGCAGTGAATTCACTTATTCTCTTAATTCACCTCTGTCCTTCAATACTGGGACGCGTTGAATGTTTAAGTGTTTTTTAAATGACAGTCTACACTTGCCAAAAAGTTCAGTATGTTTAAACTGCATATACATTGTATAAAAGTGTCACTTTTTCCGTCCGCTGTGGTGTAATATATAAATTAATACAAAACTTAGATCATATATGGCTTTTCCGCTGATTAACTCCTAACATTTAATACCATATCATATGTATTATAAAATGAAGATGGGTGAGACACACCCTGAGGAGACAGTTGAATGACCTCGAACACAGGCCCTCGAGTGGGACTCGAATTAGAAGCCACACGTTTGGCATGCAAGCGATCATTGGACAAGGGATTGCAAACTCAGGGACAGTTGTAAAAACCAGCAAAAGAAGAAAACAGATAACACAGTGAAATAGGGATGTATTGCTGAGGCGATCTTTAATATATGCTTATTTGATACGTACAAGCGAGAACCTCAAATGTCTGAAGAAATCAAAGTTTCATCTTATTTAATTAAAATTGTTAAACAAAGTACTCATTTCAGAGGGATAAGGATGTGCAAATTTTCAAATACTTGTAACCAATCATGTTCTATGTTTTCATAGAAAGTAGTCTTTAAATAAAGATCCTTTTTGTAAAAGAGTTACAGATGAAGTTGAAAGTGAAACTTGGCCATCAGCAGCATTCAGTTAATCAGAAAACCACCGAAGATAAAGGAGCGCTGGATAGCTAGCTGCAAATCTTCATTAAATCTCTAACTAGTATTGGTCAAACTAATGAAGTCAATCAGATATCTCGCACAAGATTTTACAGGACAGTTTTCTTTTTAATTTTGCAAAACAATTTCATTGACGTCTAGTTAAGTAAAGATTAGTTATTGGTTAGTCTTTGTCTAATGTAAAAATTAGTTCAATCTAATCCTCTTTTCACTTAATCGAATAAAACTTGGTGACTTCATATTTTGCTAGGGAATCCACTTTGAAAATACTCCATCATATAGTATTAAAAAATGACTTTGCCGTTCACTGTGTGCAGACTGAATATTTTGAAATAGTTTTGCAAAAACTGTTTTAAGAATGAGCAATCTATGTAAATTTACTTCTCGACAAGACGTTTTTCTGAGTTTGTTACATCACAAATATAACACAGCGGTCAGTATTTTGGTGAATTATATATATATATATAATATAGGTCTAAATCCTTTGTCAAACCAGATGTATATAAAGAGTATACACAAGACTGTTGAGATAGAATAACTAGAATAATACACATTTGAGCAAGTAAATCTACTTGTTTCAACAACACATATGCTTATATGATAAATAAGAAAGCTCTGTTTCTGTTGACAACACATGATAACTGAAAAGAGATATAACACGTGACCATATCTGGTGATCTAGCTGATAACGGGGCTGTCTTAAATGCAGAAGTATGGTAACAATATAATTATCTTATAGTTAATGTTTGCCTAACTTGTATCTTTGTCTTTCAGGATTTCTGTCGTAGAATCAATATTTAGTCGAAATAACAAGACTTCTAAGAAATATCCCCATATGGTTAGTTCACAGGTTACATTCAACAAAATATTTTTTGATAAAAACCTACGTTTGTTCAGTCTGTAAGACTTTCTTACCAATGTATCAGTATTCACTAGTGTGAGGATGGCTTATCTGTTCACTGGATTTTAAAGCCCTCCGGCGATACTACCAGGAGTTGGACTGAGGACCTTCAGGTCATAAGGGGAGCTCGTTAACACAACCACTTAATAAAGGCGCTGGAATTCAATGACATGTGAATTCTAATTTCTGTCTTAAGCTGTCAATTCAGTCGTATAACAGTGATTTCATGGATAAATTTCAGCCTACCTCATATATGTAGTGACACCCATAAGATGAAAGTGTAGATCAAGTCGACATAGTGCTAAAATATCATTTTTCACTGCATAAATCGATCACATCCTTCCTGTTTTTGTGCACATTCTGAGTCAGAATGATTGTTATTTTATTCAAACCGTTCATATTACTGGGCCTCAATGTTAGTTCTAATATTATTGACATTTTTTCAAATGACTGATCACCTCTCTCTCTGTTTTATGATATGAACCGTATGAAAATGGTTTAAACACACGTGATGGAAATAGACTTTTATGTCGATTGATTGGGCCGAAATATTCAGCCTCAGGATGACATTTCGGCTCCTAGTGCAGATACTTTGACAATGTCTGGTGGTTATTAGTAGTGGAATCCAGGATGCGCATTTCGTACTATCCGGGACTCGTCAGCTGGATGAGGCCAAGCACTTCGGTCCAATTAATCAACAGGAAAGTTCAAGCTGAATGAAATAATTACTAATACCCGTTGCATAAATGGTGGCTGTCATGGTCTGTTGGATAACACTTTGGCGTCTGAAACTATGGGTAGTGGGTTTAAAGCTCAGTGGGAACACGAGTACCGAATAGGACGAAATAAACAGCCTGGTTCCCACTGCTAATCACCATCTACCAGTTTACTTCAAGTGATGGAATTGCTTTCATCTTTATGGATATGAAAAAGGGATTATGCACACTG